GTAGGCAGTTGTTGTTGATGAATGTCTGTAGTTTGTTGGAAATGCCTTTCGTGACACGCCAAGTCTCTGAACCATACAGAAGCACTGACTTGACGTTAGTGTTGAAAATCCGTATCTTGTTCCGCATGCTGAGTGCAAAAGATCTCCACACTGGTTTCAGGCTGATGAACGCCTGTCTTACTTTTCCCATTCTGACTTTGACATCCTCGTCTGTCCAGCCTGTAATTGAAACAGTGCTGCCTAGATAGGTGAAGGTGGTTACTTCCCTTAAGTTTCTCCCGTTGATGGTGATTGGAGTTTGTTGTTGGTGTTGTTGGAGTTGTTGGTGCGGTATCTTCATCACCTCTGTCTTCTCTATATTCACCTGAAGTCCCATCTTCGTTGCTTCTTCTGTCAACTTGTTAGTTTTCGCCTGTAGGTCTTCAAGTTTGTGCGACATCAGACACAAGTCATCGGCGACATCCAAGTCTTCTAGGTTCTTTTCCCCGGTCCGGCCAGCGTATCCCCCTCTTCTCGCTCCTCACTGTTTGTTGCATGATCCAGTCGACCACAATCAGGAAGATCATCGGTGATAGTAGGCGGCAGCCTTGTTTTACTCCTGTCTTCACTTCAAAAGCATCACTGAGCTTCCCATTGTGAATCACTTGACATGTGGCATCTTCATATAGTTGTTGAATGAGGTTGATAAAGGTTTGCGGTATTCCGTAGTGTTGAAGCAGTTTCCAAATTACTTGTCGGTCGACGCTGTCGAAGGCCTTCTCAAAGTCGATGAAGTTGAGGTAGAGAGTCGACTGCCATTCTATACTCTGTTCTATGATGATGCGTAGTGTAGCGTTGCAATTTGATCCGCACATGATTTGTACTTCCTGAATCCAGCCAGCCAGCCAGCCTGTTGCGGTCGTAGTTTTGAATCCAGTGCATCCTTTAGTCTCTCCAGGATGATGCGGCTTAATATTTTGCTTGCTGTGGGTGGACAGGAGCGTGATTCCGCGCCAGTTCTTGCAAAGACTTAGGTCTCCCTTCTTTGGGAGTTTGACGAGGTACCCCTTCTTCCAGTCTGCAGATACCTTTCGTTCTTTCCTTGCAAACCTTCCGCAGTAGTGGTGTGAGCATGTCCGCTGTTGTCTCTGCGTCTGTTCTCAGTGCTTCTGGAGGAATTCTATCTGGTCCTGCTGCTTTCCCGCATTTCAGTAGCTTTAAGGCGTTCAGGACTTCGACCTTCGTTGGAGGATTTATGTTCACTTGTAGTTCTGTGGCTGGGCTGCAGGTGATATTTCTGGACGACGTGCAGGTGGTGGTCGATTCAAGAGCTTCTTGAAGTGGTCAGCCCATCGTTTCCTTTGTTTCTCTTCTTTGGTAATTAATTCCCTTCATCATCTTTTATTGGCTTCATCTGCGTTGATCTCTTCCCAGATAGTAGCCTACTTATTTGATATAATGTTGTCAGGTCTCTGTCTCTCTTACCAGCAGCCTGTTCTGCTTAACTTGCCAATGTGTCGTAGCAGTGTCTTTTGTCTTTGCGCGTACTCTTCTTCACTTCTTTGTCCAGTGTTTTGTACGCTGTACTCAGTTCTTCTTTTCGTTGTTCACTCTTGCGCTGCACTGGTTCATCTTCTGCTTCACCATCTTCCTCTCCCTGCTCTATCAGCTTCCATGTGTCCGTCGAGATCCATTCCTTGTCTTGCTTCTTCTTCCTTCCTAATACGGTTGTGCAGGTTTCTTTCCACATCTCTTCCAAGGACTTCCTGTGTTCATCCACACAGGTTTCTTCAGGTATGTTGCTCGATATCTCCCTTTTTGTCTTGATGGCTTACTGGCGTGAAGATGTCTCCTCAGTTTCTGGGTGTTGAACTTGAACTGTGGTCTATCACCAACTTCCTTGAGGGCTTTCAACTTGATTTGGAAGGTTCCTTGCACTAGGTAGTCAGTGGTCTGAGCCTGCATCTACTCCTCTTCTTGACCTAGTGTCAAGTAGGCTGCGTCTCCACTTTCTTGAGATTGAGATGAAGTCGATCTGATTTTTAGTGTGTCCTCGTGTCTGGTGAAATCCATGTCGCTCGCTTTGTGGATATCCTTGTGCTTGAACACAGTGCCTCCAATCACCAAATCGTTGAATGCAAACAATTCTCTATTCTCGTTCATTTCACCTAGCGCTTCTCGACCCATGGTTAGTTCTCTTCCTGTGTTGTCCGCTCCCAGTTTGGTGTCCATGTCACCCATTATAATTCGGATGTCACCAGCTGGGCTGGGGTTATGTCCATTACTGATTGCAGTTGTCTATAGAATTCCTCCTTTTTCTCTTGCTCTGCATTATTTGTAGGTGCGTAGTATTGTATGATTGTGACTTTCCTTTCTTCCTTTTGAGTTGAACCTTGGTGTCATGATCCTGATGCTGGAGGAGATTGGTTCCCACTGCATGAGAGCCTTCGATGCTGTTGGGGACATCATGATAGTCACTCCGCAACTCAGTGTGCTCGTGGTTGTCGTCTGGGTGACAATATCGGAGTAGATTATTGACTTCTCTCCAAATGACAGTTTGGAGAGTCCACTTCCATTCCGTCTGCTTTCGCAAATTCCTAGCACTTCAATGTGATACCTTCTCATCTCGTTTGCAATCTGGGCAGCCTTGGTAGGTTCATACATGGTGCGGACATTCCATGTCCCTATGCTTACTTTCGCTTTGATCGAGAGGAGAGAAGAGAAGACAAGTCGGCCAATTGGCATCCCGAAGGCTTTCACCAACTGGCGTCATTTCGCCTCTCCGATTCCAGCGAGGAATAAGTTTGTTTTTGTTTTTTACATTTTGTTTGTGCTTTGAAATTTCTTTAGCGGTTTGATTGGTTTTAGGGGGTAGGGTTGCTGGCCCTACGCTCAACCTTCCCTCTTTATCTGGACTTAGGACCATCTAGTAACTAGTGTACTAGTTAACCAGTTTAGGTAACCTTAACTTCAATGTTAAGGGTCGCTTGGTTTTTCAAAAACGGCGAAGAAGCGGCGAGAACGTTAAAGGTTTACTATCAGTTCATACGTGTACAATTGTAAGTGTTTATATATGTTTCCTCTTGGCCTTTGTATGTTTTACACTTTTGCGGAAAGTCCGTTAGCCACTGTGAGACCCTCGCTTATGATTACACGGTTTTTTGCGGACGTTCGGCATGCCATGATTGTTCGTGAAAGCCTCTTAGGGAATTCCAGGCTTTTTTGAGGAAGCTAGGTAGTGTTTCTCACTTCGTAGTACTTCCCTCTCCGAAAAATGTTGCTATATGTTGAAGTGTTGCTTAGGAATTCACTTCAGTCTTCTTGAAGTCTTACCTGAAATGAGATGTTCGACGTTGCAGTGACTTCGGATCAACAGAATTCTGACAATTCTTTTTTCTGTTTACAAATTATAAATGCTTTCTGATTGCTGTGGATTGTCCAGTAACATATCGATTGGTAAGCTGAGAGGAGCACCATTTCTACTTTGGTTTTTCGTCTTGGTCATAGTTGATTTACGGATTTTCTCCTAATTTCTGGACCAGCTTGCACTTCGTAAAGTACTCCTTCAATTTTATGTCTTGCTCCTCCCATTTCTCACGGATTTTACGCCGGTAGTTTCTAACCATAACCTCCAGGTTGGGGTTTACTGCTTCGTTGTAGTAACTCTTCACTTAGTTGTGGGCACCATAGACCCAAAACCAGTTCCTATTCAGCAACTGTGGCGAGGGTGTTTTCTACAGAAATGAAAGGGCGAAAACAAATGTCCGAAAGCTAGATTGCCATCTTTGTGTTGTACTCTAATTAGAATGATTAGGATATGAATATATCGTCATGAAGGTCAAACAGTTTTCGCATGGAATAAGATATATTTTATCTGGAACGTGTGATGCACTACAGCAACATATTTCGAACAATCTGATCACACACTTGTCATGGTCATTTATAACAAAGGATAAATGGGTTGAAAAAATAATCGGATTAATGAAGGGTCAACTTGTTAGTTTAAAGGTCGACTGATAGATCAAGGGGGAATATATTTTGTTGATCACCTTTGATATTAAAGCATAGTATGTGGTGAAGGTCGATATGATAAAGAAAGCAAAACTTATGTATTCCTGTAAACCCTTGCAGCATTTGAACGATGGGGTCAGATCCAGTCGCCTTTGTCACTCTATATATATACGTATGGTCACATATACGTAGGGAGAACCCATTTATCTCTGCGAATAAGGGTCACAGAGCACATTCCGAAATAGCTGTGACAATAAATCAAATTCAATGATCCTATTGACACAGTCGGTAGATGTCCAACTTCGTCTACACCTGAATATATTTTCGAAACCGGTCACAAGGTTGATTCGTCCGCATCTTTCCAATCTATTTACGAAGCCAATTGAGGTTATATTCCTAGGTTTACTGAAGCTGTAGAAAGTTTAGACCTCTTTTATGTACCCAGAGACAATTTGTTGTTACGCTGAACCCACCTTGGTAACTGAGCTTTATTATCAGGGGTGATTTATTTAATATATCGTTTTCTCATCTATCATCTGACCTTTAAACTAACAAGTCGACCTTTCAATATACCGATTGTTTTTTCAACCCCTTTGTCTTTTGTTAAAACTCGTATAAATGAGCATGACAAGTAAGTGTGTGTAGTGCATCACACGTTTCATCTAAGCGACGTCTTATTGGTTTGTCAAAATTTGTAAGTGATTTTAGGTGTTTCAAATCTCGCAAAGCCTGATAACTTAGCATACATCGTCATGTAAAATTTATTCACTTTGGCTATTCAAAGGCTTTAAGTTAGCAATTCATCTACTTACTGCTCGAATACTTTATTTTTGCGAAATCTTTTCATACTGTAAATTGCAGGTCCGATGTTTGTTAAAAGTTAAAATCACGTATTCGCTTATGTTATTTATTCATATTTTCTTATTAGATGTAAGTAAATAAAGTGGTTCTTACTGTTCAACTTGGTTACTTTCTACTTATCTGGTGAAATTTCCTTTTTCTTGTTATAGGCTTTAAAAAGACCATATTTCAAACCTATACAAGCTTTTAAGAGCATCATTTCTCCTGCTATTGAAGGTGATAAATCACAGCGTACTACTGCTCAAAAATTTAGATAAAAAGTCCCGTTTGGATCAAACCAGAAAACAAATTTAATTTCACATAACCAAGCACAGAAGTGAAGAAGTCCCGGGTAGTTACAGATATAAAGCCTATTCAGTCGATCGTTACTGACTTGTCTAGTCAGCAGATGGAAACTGGATCACTTAATAATTTTCTGAATACTCATGATGATTATTCTGTGGGTACAGAAGTTAAGGATAATACTCCCAGAAGCAATGTGGACTGGTCAGAACGTTTACCGATGGATACTCAAGGTATATTTCCTCTCCATTTTTTGAATATAACGAAAAACAAAATATTGATATTGACTCTCTGCGGCGACTAGCTATAATAAAACTATCATTTTACGAATATATTCTGTTGATACTATTGGAATAACTCATGGACCAGGTTCCACTTTGATCGGCTAAGCAATCTGTACTCAAATTTGTATTACTTTTTTTTGGTTTCACATATTTTCTATCAATTGTTGACATCTAGCAGAAAACGGCGAATGATGAGTTCCATGCGTTAGTGTCCAACTATTTATCACTAACTCTAATTCGCTACGATGTCTAGACAAATTTCCTTAAGTAACCGATTGACCAGTTCATTACGTTGACTATCATCTGATTAATAGCTCTTGTAGACTAAGTATGCAATTAACTGGTACATAAGTATTTGAAAATAAGTGAGTTTTCATTAAATCATCGTTTGTTTCTGGATAACAGATTAATTAGAATGAAGTGAGGACAAAAGCTTTACACGCTTAACGTGTAATACAGGTAAAAGTTTATAAGTAAACCGGGGGATACAAAATATGGTAAATTTTGTCAAAAGTATCTCAGTATCAGGTTTCTTATGAGAGCGCACGACTGAGAATGATGACAGATGTAAATGCTAGAGAACCCAAATGGTGAAACTATGTTTATCATAGGATATAACTAGTAACAGGTATTACTTAAGCAAGTTGAGTTAATCTAAGCTGTTTCATGCTTATTTTCCCGGTTAACAGGAAATCACATGTTTATAGTTTACTAGGTATTCTTTTTTGAAGTTAAAGAGTTTGGCCTACAACTACTTACTTCAGAATGAAGGGCTGATGCTCTGCTTTTAAAGGTGGCATTCTGCTGCATTTGTTTGTGTTTAGTACTCAACTTTTAGGTACAATTTTATGAATACACATATGTTGCTGCACCCTTTTGTTTTTATGTAGTGCTATTTATTGTTCAAACAGCGAAAAAATATCATTGGTCTTTGACGCCGTGAGTACCTTGGCCATATTTATACTTCCCCTACAAGTTACAGCAATATGGTAGTTTTACCGATTATATTTAACTGAGTGATTCGAGATGTATTATATCTTTGTTTTGTCTGAAATTTGTTCCTTAGGTTATCAATTAATCGTCCTCGACCATTTATTGTGTTTCCGTATATACTTGTCGTATTATCCATCACCTTTTCCACTCAGCTATGAATAACTCTATTCACTCATATTCTGACAGTTATAAACTTTTTCATCTTCTGTATCTGGTTTTCTTTCTCATTCATAATATATATACAGTGTTCGCTTGAACTTACAGGTAGTAAAGGAGCTCCAGCTAATCGTGTTTTGAAACTGGAAGATCCATTACCGAGTCTTGTTCCACCATTAAGTGAAACTGTTGAGAATGTTGATTCATATGGTCGCAATGTCGAAAACAAAGTTGGTGCATTTGGTGATTTGGTCGTAGGCGATGTAAAGGATAAAAAAGATCTGGTTACAGGTTGTGCAATTGATATAAATACTTTTCGTTCCAATTTATCTAAACACGCTAAAGCAGTAGTTCCTTTCACATCTATTAGCTTTCACCTAACTGTAAACTTGTTCTAAGATACAGGAAAGAATGGCACTTTTGTATGCTCTTTAATATTTTATACGTATGTACATACAGTGAATATTAGTTTATGGCCTATCCACTTGAGTAATTTCTGTTATTTTAAGCAGTATAAAAAGATCCATTCACTCATATATTTAGGTTGTGCCGGTGTTCGGAAGAATAAAATTTTTACTTATTTTTGTTTCCTTAAACTGTTAAACTGGTTCTTTCCTTGGTTCTCACTCATGGTATAATTAGCATTCATAATTATTTTCAATATTTAAATACTGCCCCCAACCTGTTCAAGACACTAATGGACAATAATGAACCTGAGGCTCATTCACTGCGATAAGTGTCAACTTTTAATCAGTTTCTTGAATCTTGGACCATCCAGGTAGAATAATTAGCCATCATACAGTAGGTGCAACTTATGGCCTATTGCACAAACCTGCACATATTTACATTTTATATTTATTTCTCTATGTTTGATATACGTTTAAAGTTGGACTTGAGATGTTGACGTCAATTATTTGAGTTACAGTGGATGAATGAGATAAATAAAAAATCTGATATTTTTTCTATTCAAATAAAACGTCCGATAACTAATTTCACTGCTTTTATGGTACTTATAATACATTTAGAAGAAACAATTTCATGTTGAATGTTCAACATCCAACTATGAGTAAAATATGCTCAAACAGTTATACATAAAATAAATCCTTGGCTATCAATGGGATTATCGATTCTCCCATGAAGAAATGCAATTCAGTTCTGACAGCAAAGTACATCACAAAATCTGGATTCGAATTGTCAGTTTTTGACGAAATACTGATATGTGATTCTTTAAATTCTGCTGCATCATACATGTGCCTAGACCATTGTGGCTCAACAATAAAAGTAGTTAAGAAGTGGTTGGAAAGTCTTTCGTCTGACCTAGCAGGAGGTTAAGAAAAACAGTGTTGAGACAATTATTGGAAAACTTGTACACACGTAGTTATTTTGAGTAATGCATACTGGTGTTGATTTGCTATGCTTAAAGAATAACATTTTAGCTACTATATGGCACTTTTGAATCATTGAAACTAATTGCTTATGCTCCAATAATTCCTCACACCTTTTTTATACTGCCGAATGTTTTAAAGAGTCTAGGCAATATAAAACATCAGTAATCTAAAAACATGTTTTTATCTTATGCACTAAATTTTCGTGTATCATTTCACAGATTTTTTTATTCTCGCTTTTCCTTTTTTTTTGTAAAGGAATCGTCTATGGAGAAGAATAAAAAATCAACACGTCGACGTTGGCCAGCTTTAGAGACTGATGATTTATTTGAAGATCTCGGGTTCGATCAATTGGATCCAAAGCCACCTTTAAAGAAAATGATTGCACCGAGTGACCAAGTAATTTTTTGCAACTACTTTGCATTGTACAAAAAGAAGGCAACTAGTTAAATTTAGTTTAGGGTACTAGATTAGGATACTGAAAAACTATTAGGATTGTTGTACGAATGCACCTTTTCTACTTTATTCAGTGATGAACCTCCCTGTTAGTTTACACATAAGTATTTTAATAGTATATGTTTCAAAAAAGCGAAAACAAACATAGCCGAATAATATAAACTTATTTTATTACTTCGGTGGTTTTCTTCAGCTGCTTACAACCTAAACTATGTAAAACAACCAATTACCACAGAATACAAATTATAATAAAGCTGAGATCTAATTTAGTGATTCCATCAATATGTATCTGATTAGGAAGACATTTGTCAAAAGTAGACATGAATAGTAAAATTGTTGTTATAGAACTTAGAAAGAGAGATCGCTTAAGTCAAAGCGCAAATAAGTTAGTAGTAATCGGCTAATAAAATATGATAACTACAAGCCTTTAGATCAAGATTTGAGTTTAGTTAAAAATCAAATGAAAAGATAACCAATTACATCTTGAAACATAAAGATCAACAAAACTTGTTTTCGAACGTAAATCTAGTCTCAGGTTTTCAATTCCAATGGCTTCAGCAAAGCGAAGAAGATTGAATTATCCTGTTTGTTGATTATTTCGAATGTTTCTAGGACATTTGCTTGATATTTGTTCTTGCTCTTTTGAAGTTAATAAAGGGAAATATTTGTGTGAAGCAAATATTATATACCTAACTATTTTTGAGGCTAATGGAGATTTTATTCTTAAGGTAGTGTTCATCACCGGCTGACATCAGTTGGAGAGCCAAGAATAAGTTATCATTATTACGTCAAGTCAGTTTCAAAAATCAAAGTGTGCTGGAGTTTTCTTATTCATACAATCGTGAATATCAAATATACTAACAACATGGTATTCTTAAGAAAGAACTACTGTGCATCCTGGTTTTAAATATACCCTGACACTACGATACGATAGGCAAAGGTTCTAGTGATTCTAAGACTTCATATTTTGTGTCTTACCGGCAGTAGAATCCAGAGCATCCAATTCATCTTATTTGGATACCTACATACTACATACTAGTGATTGTTGATGTTTCCATCAAGAATGAAGTCCGACATTGGTTACTTCAAATACCAAGGGGTTGTTTACTATGCTGAGTCAGAATATCCACTTGTTTGGCACTTAGGTTATTATTAAAACTTGGAACTTCATTTTGTCGATTTTCAAGAACGAAATAACCAGTTGAAATTCTATAGGCAATATCAAAGCCCCTCACGTGTAACATACACTAGTGAATTCAGTTTTAAAAATCAACAAGAGTAATTTTCGATCTCCAATCATGTTACAGACTTACTGCAGGAGAAATCAGGACATAAGTCATATTTGTTTTTCCTAGGCTTCTAAGAATAAATTCCACAATGACTCCGTATGCCGTTCTACAGAAAAATAGATAAGAGGCAGCCGAACAGTAACTTGTCATTCATGATCAACTGTATAAAATTCAACATGGAGAAGAAACTGTAAATGTTGAATCTCGTGTAATATCTGTTCTGTTTCAGCTCTTGCACCTCTCAACAGTTCGGTAATAGTAAGTCAATAAGATGAACTTCAAAAGTTAAATGAGTGAATTGGGGAAATATAGAAGTAAAATCATCTATTCACCATCTAAAAGGTGGGAGAATAAGCCAACTATTTTTACAAGTTGTAAAATGATGAACTTGGAATCTGCTGAGATTAATAAATCATAATCAGTTGACCCATGCGGTCGGCTTTGGAAGATGATATTACATAGTCAAAGAGGCAGCCTAAATAGTGACAACTAGGCACAGGAGTAAACAAATTTTCTGCAAGATTTACATCAATCACGCTTTGGCACTACACAGAAGTAATGAATGGAAGTTAAGATAGACAGAGTGTCTGACTACTTGATAATCTATGCATTATAAAACTGACCAACAAGCCCTGCTTTCTGTGGTGACAGTGGTAACTGGTGATATTATAGTGATAGTAACGTCTGTCAGGAAGACCTGAGTAAGCAATTAATATGATAAAATACAAAGAAATATCTGTTTGCTGTTACTAGAGACTAGCATAACGCGTGACAATTGGGGTCAAACTGTAACTACTCAGATCTAGCAACTCTGCTTCGTTAAATCCCATGGAAAGAGTTATTTTCTTTCATAGTCAGATGTTACTGTAGATTTGAATGTTGTGTCATTCCTAAGACTTTATTATTGACAAAATGGCTATGATTTTTCCATTTTTCTTAGTCTACCTGATTTTAAAAACGTTGAATAAGTCTTTTAAACATTTTTCAGAGTATAAAAATAAGAAAGTTAAATTAGAAGTACCGTAGTTTCTCTAAAAAAGATGCTCCCATATTAATTCAAATATTTAGGAAATTCATACAACCTGTAGTTAGCATTTGAACTTGTATCGCAGCCCTACAAGTCCACTGCCTCTATCATATCTCGTTGCTAAGCCTAGATGTTGAGCCACTTGTCATCCACATGGTCATGTGAAATAACATTTTTAGTAACCAAACGGTGTTGATAGACTTTGATTAGTACTGCAGACTAAAATCCGAAATAATAAGGTCCTGGTTGTATTGTGTTCTCTGAGCTGAGTTGTTCAATTAAACCTGAGCTACAAATATTCTTCACTATTTCGAAATAATAAGGTGTTTAGTAGTTACTTAACTGCATTAAATAGGATTATTTGATTTTGGGAGGCTGATGTATGTTCTAGTTGTTTTTCGCAACTTATTGATAAATGCCTCTCACGGCTTAAAATTGTGTTAGCAGTTGTTATGTCTCTCATAAAGTATTTTGCAACTAAAAACGTTTTTCTTCAAATTCATAAGTATATAAGAATCTAGTTGTGCTATTATTGCCTAACACTTGGCCAGTCGTACATAAAGCAACGCGTGCCAGTAACAAACTAATCTGCACCTTACATATGTGTAGGTACTGACAACAAAAGACAAATTAGAAAACACGTTATGTAGTAAAAAGTGTTCAGACAAACAGTTTATTTATTAGTCAGAGTTAAAGAGATGATATTAGTGGAAGCACGTTAACTTGTCTATCTATTACTCCCTAAGCTAAAGACTCTCATCTGGTTGCTGTCGATTGGCGAGTGTTGATGAGTGGATGCCTACACACTGAAACGAACTTACAGAACTAAAGTCACCCGTTGACATCTTAAAAGATTATTTACTTATTACCTAGATATTTTAAATGTTTATTTATCTTTCATAAACCTAGCATTATTTTGGTGCCGTAAAGATGCATTACACGTGTAGGGCTTGGATCTCAGTGAATCATGTTGGAATTGCGATTTACCTGACTGAATTATTTCAAATAAGAAGAAATATACTTCATACATTTTTGTGTTAGCTTTCACTAAAATATCATCAATCCAAATCAAGATCCGTAATTAGTTCGAAGTGTATTGAGGGAATTTTAATTTGCCTTTGTTAGCCAATTATTTCTTTTTGTTTCTTCTGTAGGTCATATGCATAATTCTCTTAGTAATGTATATAATGCAGGCAATACTAACAGCAGTTCAACCACTATGACCCATAATTCGACTCATAGCTCAAATGATTCTGATTTACTCGTATCGTTCAGTAATCCAACAATCACAGATTCTAGGTTTATGCACACAAACACATAAGAAGCAAAATAATAACAGTAATACAAATATAAATAATAGCGACAACATAAGTAGAAAGGAAATCAACACCTCTACTGTGATACCATACAAGGAAGGAACATCAGAAACCATACGCAGAATTCTCAACAAGGTTGGAATTAGGGTAGCATTTAAACCAACAAACTCACTTAGAGGTAAGCTTTGTCGGCTAAAAGTTCCGATAGAACCAATTAGGCAAAATAATATGATCTACCAAATTCCATGTAATGACTATGAGGTCAAATACATAGGTCAAATTAGCCGGTCGGGGTCAGTTAGATTAACAGAACATAGGAATTTAGCTAAACAGAACGACAGACCCCAGTAAGATCAATAATCTAGAAAAACACTCGGCCATTGCATTACATTCATTAACACACAACCATACAATAGGGTAGGACAAAACCACTGTACTTAAGTCTAATATAGCTAGGTGGAGAGAGAGATTAATTACTGAATCTTTGTTCATCGAATCCACACCCAACACATGTAATAGGAATGACGCAACACCTATACCAGAGATATGGAAAACTTTACTACCAATCAAAAAACAAAGAAAAATCAGGTGACGACTATAAAATCAGATATCAAAAGAAGTGTGATTACATTGGTATGATTATGAGCAATAATTAATGCTCGAAACGTAATCAAGTAAATAATACTGTATCACTGTGCGCTATATATCAAATAAACAAATCTAATATGGAATAAAATAATCACGGTTACAAAAATTCTAAATGCAATATACGTCTAAATCACTAGACCATTGACGTAAGAAGGGATCGAACCCAGGACCTTCAGGTTCGGTTGCCAGCGCGTTACTATTAAGGCACTGGGTCAGATTCTAACGGTCCATATTTTCTAATTCTGTCAGTTCATGATATGGCGCGACCTCGATCCATTGCCGTCACTGAGTATATGTCCTCATATCTGACTTGGTTAACCCTATCAGTCACGACTTCTCATTAGAATTTCAGGAATCACTTCTCGTAGCTAGATCCTTGATCATGAGCGCGCACTGCTGAGAAGTCCTATACTAGAACGAAGCGGCTGTTCAGCGCTCCCACACTTCTAATGTTTCTCCAACTGATGTCAAACCATGATGAATACCAATCTCAGAATAATGTCTGCTAACGAAAGTTTTTCGAGTCATTTAATTAAGACTTATTACTTAGTGCATTTTCCTTTTGTTTTAATAAACTTAGTTGTAAAACTTTTGTCATATGTTAACGTACTCATTCAGGTGAAAAGAAATTCGAAAATCAGGATACAGAAAACAGTCAAGCTGAAGAAGTTGGTCATTTTCGCAATTATTTGGGAGTCCCTGGGATTGGATTCCCCTCGGGAAGTAGAACTGGTCATTCGCGAACTGCAAGGGCTCCTGCCCCTCCATTCCATTCTAATCCTAGTTCCAGGATCGACTGGGCTGCCAAGTATGTACCTGGTATAAGTTGATACATTTTCTTGCTTGTATTTTACGAAAACTTCCTATTGCTTGAATCAAGATCTCAGTAGTATCCTACATAGGTAACTGAAACTCAAATAATAAACTGATTATTTTGTTCGACAAAACAATAAGAAGACGTAAATTGTCTGAACCGTGTAATGTATTTGCGCAACACATTTCGAACTATCTGATCACACACGTACTTGTCATAGGTATTTATATAAAAACTCATGAAGATAAGGGGTGAGAAAATAAAAAGGGGGTCAGGTAGGAAGGCTGACTTAAAGGCCGAATAACAATGAAAATCAATAGGGCGAAAAAATAATAGTACATAGAACTTGGTTTTTCAATAGTTGAATTTACCAAGGAAGGTTTAATGTGACAACAAATTGTTTATGAATACATAAAGGTGGTTTAAACTCCCTAATAGCTAAGGCTTCAACAAATTTCAGGATCCCTCCCCAACATGTTTTGTAGATAGGTGTAAAGGAAGTAGCCACATCAATCTTGTGACCTGTCTCAACGATATGTTTAGCGATCGAAGAGCTTGGACGTTTGCTACCAACATTTATAGGTTCAGGTGATTTGATTTGCTTCTGAAGCCACTTTGGAATATGTTCCGAGGCCCTTACTTGCATGGATCTATTAGTCCTCCCTATGTATGTGTCACCACACGTACATTTGAATTGGTAGATACAATGGGATGTGACATTATCGTTCACATGCTGTGGGGGTTTGGGGGAATATAAGGGCTTCGTGGTTTCGATTACTCGAACCCTGGCTGCATAATAAGTCCTTCTAACAGCAGCGTTGAGTCTCTGCTTAAGGATTGCACTCTGAGAGTCACCTTTGTACGGAAGGCTGATGAAGACATCCTTCTTTGGGACTGACTGCAGTTCTAGTTTTGATTATTTTGTGCCCATTGTAAGTTTCAATATATGTGATCAAATTGAATTACGCTTTCTAACACTTAATTTAGCAAGTAAGTTTACGGCATATTAATAAGTTAATTTTCCTGCACTGGGATGGGTTTAGAATATAATCCAGATGTACTTATGCAATGTGATTCCAGAAACTGTAATCTTTGTATTGGAAAGTGCTGAGCAGATTTTATGCAGACGAACTCTTGATTTAGGTGCTTGAAATAAATGGTTTTTGTAGTATCTATTCTTTCGCTACTATTGACAGATTCCTAGCATCATTTTTTAGGCGGTATCAGAAGACAGAACCCACACTCAACTAGTTGAATCGCAAATCACAATGATGTGGAATTGTAACCTGATATAACCAGGTTATCAATAGCTATTATTATTTACTTAGTGGATAAGAAATCGTTGATTGAACGTTACCAAGCTCCATCTACTACCATCAGTTCGGATTTCTGATTGTTGTATCAGGTTTTAAGAACTGACAGACGCTGAGGCCAATCACTAATTATTCCTACTCGTGATATACCCATGAATACAATACCAAGGAAGAGCACAAAAGTATAGTCAGATGGAATAGTATATTTGCGAAGTAGTTCCAAAATACCGAAGCGTTCAAACTAGCTGACTAGAGGGTCGATTACGAGCAGTGCAACGTAACACGACATCGTGTCAATAGTGTGAATGCTTCACCGTGTGCATTCAGCTTAGCGAGTTCGATAAAACTATGAAAGTCAACGTCAATGTTGAACCTCGTCGAATCCTAGGCTATCGATTCTAGAGAAACATGTGATGCTACAAGGTAAAGAAAATTTTAAAATGATGTACCTTCCAGATTAGCTTTGATGATATTTTGTGAAGTTTGAAGAAAATCACAAGATTTCCATCGTGATTTATTTTGATGTTATTTCCCGTAAAATACTTTTTGTGAATCTTTTCCAGGTACCTCAAATCATGAATGCGTATCGCCCAGTTAATTTTATTTTGCGCTGCACCCATTCTCTCGCTGTCACTTACCACTTCACCCACCTTTTTTCAACTGGTTACTTTCGGATCTTATCTTTCCCAGAGTCATATTCTCTTCTTGCTTATGTTTTTGGAAGCAGTTAGGTGCCTTCACTATTGGAGAGAGATGATAATGATATTGGGGAAACCAGACCTAGTGCATAATGTTTTACCACACTATCTGTCACTGTGATTAATTAAGTCTTATGTGCATACTACCGGTTATTAATTTGTTTTTATTTTTCCATTCACATGCTTTGTGTTTTTAAATCTTTGAAGTAGTACTACTCTAGTTGTGTCAGTAATATTGTAAGGATCCCATCTGCCTTTTTTTTTCAACTCCATCCTAGCATCTGATGGCTATGCCAAACATACGTGTTTTTGTGTGTCAACATATATACCTTTATGATCACTCCATGACACTGATATCTGTAACTAATCCAACCCACTTTTGCAAATTAATCAATATTTTGTGTACCTGTATTTATGGCTATAATCATATATGTAATGCTAGTCTCGTTTAAATGTGTATTGGTGGTGAGTCTGGTTACTCATGCCACAATTACGTAACTTGGGTTTACTGCTACACCGACATAGTATTTCTTCTGTTTAATTCACCATCTGCCTAAAATTCTTGTTGTATGTCGCCCGTAATCACTAAACTATACTACTACTTTCGATATTATACTTCACGTGGGTTGAACTGTGATTATTTATTACCTTCAAAAATGTTTGACGTTTACTCCAGCTAATTAAAGTGCGTAAATTGTGTAAATTAAAGTTCTTAACAATAAAGTGATTTTGAGACATTGTTAGAGTTTTCTGTATTATTTTTAGTCATAAATGGAGAACTTTCCTCTATAGTGAATTTGTGGCTTGCATGATATGTATGTTAGATTTTGTAAATTTAATTTACCCAAATATGCTTGCGGCTTTGAACAACTTTTGCTCCTTCTGATATTTAAACTAGTTTTCTTCGTTATTTATAAACATTACTTTTACCAGAGTTATTTAGGTAGTGATTGCCTCTTTTGTGATCGAAGTCTTTAGTGCTAGTTGAGTTTTGTTGTTCGGTATACAAAGCCCATCTGCACGCAAATGAAACATGAAGTCCGATTGAATTTAGTATCAAATAATTCAGATTAATTGTTTCATTGTTTATATCAACCGTAATATTTGTTGCTTTGATTATAATTTGTAGACGAATTCGACTGCATATTATTTGCATACTGTAGTTTCAGAACATAAACGCAACATTAGACACCCTTGAAGCTGCTAAGCAACTTTCGCTTTGTTGTAAAATTCCCCCCAATCATCATTTTCACTGATGGTCATCACATTCAATCTTGGTTCAATACACCTTTTTAAAGTGTATCAGACAAAAATAAATGAAAAGGATAGTTATGGAGTTATCGTACACCGATTTTCGGACAACTCTGTGTCGTTATAGCCTGTGTTGTCGAAAATTATTCCAACTTGAAACGACCCGTATACATGTATTATTTTAGCCTATTTTTTACAGCTAATCAGATACTGTGGAGTACATGATTTATAAGCCATATAGTTCACTATAAAATAGCGATTCATTAGTCCAGTTATCAAACTGCACAAAAAGAAGGAGTTAGTGGGAATTGATTAGTTATTACAACATTCAAGAAGGAGGAAAAATATATTGTCATGAAATGGGAAGAATAGTCAGATATCGACACTGGTGTGATCACCTTTAAGCTGTATTACAAGGCACCTCCACTAATTTCTTAAGGACACTATTCATTCAGTCTGCTAAGGTAAAACTAAAAGTCAATGATTTCATGAATACGTGTCACGTATACATTTGGCTTATTTGAGGCTATTTCTCATCCAACCCTATTACGACTTCCATACAATACATTAATCTAGCTATGCCTTGCGTTACATCGATTTAGATTTTCAACCTCTGTGGCTGGTACAAATTTCTTTTCTAGAATTTCGTAACTGACCTTAGCATTGGTTAAGTCACATGTAGACAACTATCGATAGTGCGTTTATAACTTCATGTAATCCTCCACAAATAAAATGAAATGATTATGTATAGAGCAGTTTCACTTCTTTGGGTCACAATGCCTTCAAATAAGTATAGTTTCTTTGTCCATCTACATTTAAAAACAATTTATTCGGCACTTTGAATGCGTGGTGATGTAATTTATGTATCTCAAGACTAAGCCTTGAAACAGTTTTCCAAACAAGGTAACTTAAGAATAACCTAATAAGTAAAAGTGTACCATTTCAATCTTCATTTGTTATCATTTGAGTTCACGTGAAAAAGTTTGCTGTTATGAACCTCGGCATCAGAAATGCGGTGTAATCTAAGGCTTGATCGCTAATTTACATTGAACTTGAAAGCTTTCATTTCAAATGAAATGGGGAAACTTATTTCGTTCATCTGCTCACAATGTTTTTCATGTCAACCCTACTAACCAAATATTTTTAATAATTAAAATGTAAGACAACTAGAGCAGAGCATACTTATACTTATTACAATATGCTGAGTTTGATAGTTTTTTGAAGGCTTTATCAACCCCTTAGTCAACATCTTGACCATACCATTCATATTTGAATTGAACTTTTAAAAATGTCTGCATGATGCAGTCTAGTGATATTGGTGTGCTTAAATACGTTACTTATAATTGTTTAGGTAATCTGGAATGTTCCAGTATGCGGTAATGGGACAAACCATAGCCGTATAATATCAGAAAGTCACAACTGTCCAACAACTAATGTTCTTACAATCTTTCTATGCCTCAGTATGATGTCCATTTCAACCACGGAACGGTCTTCTATCCAAGTATTTGGTCGAACATCACTCAACTATGCTTATTTAATATTGTTTATCAGTATTTTGAGATATCACACATTCTAATTATATGCATTTTGTTTGATTTGTAGGTGAATGGGTGACCTTGAATTTACCAGTGTTAGTTACTGCAATTTATATCTTCAATCTTAGCGATTATATTTTGATTGTCTGGCTTTTATTCTTACAATATGATGATGGAAAATGAAATGAAAACCCGTGTCGTACGAGTTTCGATTCTCGTTTTTCCGGGGATGAAACTGTAAAATATTCGTTTATTGGTTCGTTTTCATATTAGCAAGTTATTACCTTTTTTCTCGAAGGTTATGCAGTATATCAGTTTTACCGTTAGTTGATGATGTTTATACATCAAATCAACCACCATTTGGTCACGATGTAGAACTTCACTTTCTAGGGCTTGTACCTTGGCAACGGGGCAACACAGGAACCCGATGTGTTCAAGCCCAACAATTAAACTTCTGTTAGACCACTGAATGGTATTTACTAGGTATGAACTATGCAAAGTTGTGACTAATTCTTATAACATAAATGGGAGTCCCATCTTTTCCGTAGTCGTCATTGTAACTATTTTGCGGCATTCAAAGCAGTTAAACATATATAGTAATATGCTTCTCACTGTAATGGTTGCATTTGATGTACTGATAGGTAGTGCCTAAGTGAATGTATGTGAGTATGAAGCTGAGACCTTCTGTCGTTATCCTATTTCCACAAGGTTAATTAAGAACTGAACGCCTCAGTTAGAAAACCTGTTAATATAGTGGTGTTTATGGTCTCAGCGGATAGCACTTCCACTGTGAATTTCTCAAACTTTCATATATCAGTTTTTAATGGCATCTTTGCAAAATCTTTACATGAAGCAGTCTTTTGGCATCCGAAATTTCAAAAAAAATACCCTTATATTTTTTAGCTCTTGGAAGATGAAGAGGATCAGGATACGATATATGATCGTGGGAAAAAAAGAATGTTCACCCGCGAAAGTAATGAATGGAATTTAAGATGTAATTTTTTAAAACTTGCTATTAGTACGTTCGATGTTGTATGCTTTTGGTGATGATGAAAATCCATTACCTGAGACGGTCGCCTTAGTTGAAGATATAACAGTTCAACATATTCTGGAAATGGTAAGCCTCAAGTAAATTATATTATATATATATATATATATATATATATATATATATATATATATATATATATATATATATATATATATATATACTCCAGTTTGTTTTCCATCCTTGCCTTTCTTTGTTTCCAATTGTTAACGATTAGTGAAGTGATTAATTCTACTGATATAATACTCTCTGAAATAAGCAACACGTTTTCGCTAAGATAAATCTTACTGTACATGTAATTTATCACTCTGGCATCAAATCATCCGAAAATCGTGAACAAAATGAAAATTTTCAAAGGAAAGCAAAACTTACAGGTCTTTGGAAATGCATTCCCGCTACGTGGTTGAATTCGATAGTTTGCTATCACACCCTTCAGTAGTCTCGATATTTTCGTAAAGAGAACATAAGAATCAATAGTACATCTCATGTCTGAATTTGAATTCATGAACTACTTTATGTTGGATAATGTAGCCAATCAATAAAACCAACCTATGCTCTTAATCCAATTATGAGGTACTAAGCAATAGGATAGTATTTATATCATGTATCACGGTATTTCTGAGTGTATATTTTCTCACATGGCTTATCCTTCCTTCTATTTTAAGTCAGTCGCTTATTTATGATTGAGTAGTCGGTGAAAGGGTTGAATTATTGTGCAACAATTTTCATAACTGGTTTATATCAACCAAAGAATCACTAAGAACGACGGTACTGTAGATTTCGCTTTTGAATGGTGGTGGTGGTTACCTTGAGACCTAAGGAACCTGGTCTCAATGCATGTTAGTCGTCCACTGGATGTGCAGAGTAACGATTTTTTTTGTCTGGTAAATAATAAAATACACCATCTATAACTTCAACTATTCGATTCTTTACTCTAACCATAAATGGTTACAGAGTAATATTTTTATCGACAGAAAAAGAGGGGTCGAAACGTAAAACGTTTGTCTTCTGCGACAAATTCGTAAGCATAATATCTCTCAGCTTCCTATCTGTTATAGTTATCAAATGCCAGTGTTTCTTAAATTTATAAATAATATCGTATTAAACCGTTGTGGTATTTCGCAGTACTGCGTAACCGAATCAGTGCATACATCGGTGAGTCATAACGAAAGTCCTATGCCTCTACCTTACTTCGTTTTTGGAACTCACAAAAGTAAATGTAATATCTCGACGCCCTTTAATTTTGCGACTGTTTTTGCTGGTATAGAAACAAGCATTTTGTTAAACATCGAAGCATAAAAGTCACTTGAAATAGCTCGTTTTTTTAATGATTTGTGCTTCGGATATTCCACACAGACAGAATTATTTACTGAATAATGTTCGAAACGCAATTCATTATTCATAGCCAAATCAGAGGTATGCTACGACTGTTGATTGTTTACCGAATGGTGCTGCTTATTGTGCATCAGTTATTTTGATCAGTTCTCTCAGACATGTTAGCGAATGCTTCAGCTTGTTTCGTTTCTCTATAAAAGTTCCACGAAGTTTTTATCATTGTTGCCACTGCTTACGTGAATGAAACGTAGATAAAGAACTCTTTCACTTAACTCCGAAAGAGATTGAAGCGCATACCGTAGTGCTAGATATATTATGATTCGGCTTCTCGTAAACCCAAATTTCCCAGTTTCCTCATATCGAGTTCTGAACAGTACTGCTGATTTCTTAGTTCTCATGCATTTTCTAAGATGTACCTTCCCTTTTTCTATTGAGTGTAGACTAAAAAGGCCCTGAAAACTGGACGACCAGGAAAAATATCCGTCGAGGATGTTACATTTCTTGTTCGACGTGATTCGAAGAAATTCTCCCGAGTAAAAGAATTGCTGCTTCTCAGCGAAGAACTGCGACGTGCTCGTAAAGCATTCGAAGAAAATGAATTTGATGTTCTGAAATAGATTGCCTTCTAAATGAATAACAGTAGGATGCAAACAACTCGGTACAGACCATTATGAAAATTGGTCTGTAATGTAATTTCAATATTTAACAACCTGAGTAATATAAACCTCCTCAGTACTATCACGCATTACTTCTACACTTCTGTGCATTCTCTCGTTTACGTGTTTACCTCATACAAGAAGAATTCTACTGGATTATGGGATATATATCACTTCACTTCCCTAAAATCCTGATCTGATCATTTACGATCGCATTGTTCTCTTTCTGCATATCTTTGTCGATTTCAGTCACTTGAGACATGGTGATAACGTATGTTTAAAGGCATGGTGTCCTCGGTATAATTCTAAGCGTCACTCGCTCGGTGGTTCAATTTCTGTATATTATTAATTCAGCAGACGGGTATTCGGCTGTTACAGTGACTTTAATTCGACTCAGTAACTGAAGTAATTACCTAAACTTTAACGGAAAAAGTAAATTGACATCTTTTTCACATTGTTGAACGTTCTTTCCAAGCAAACTCGCGAATAAAATCTTAAGTCAGATCGCGTAAATCAGGGGTTAAGCAGAAACATATTGTTTCCACTAGTTAAGGAAACAAATTGCGAGGTCCCATCGCATAACATCTCGATATAGTTCACTCTTGAATGTTGGCGTTTATCGGGTAACTAGTCTTTTTTGTAACTGGTCTTCTTCTGACTACTATTTGCTGTAGACCTGACTGTTAAATATCTTCCCAACTGAATCCCGATTCGTCATTACCTGGACCAAAAACATAAGTTAGTAACTATTTTTGTCTTGAAACTAACTACATAGATACGAATTACGAAGCAACTCGGAATAAGTAAATGGGTCGCAGAACGCGTGCTCTCTCCGCTGCCTTGCATTCCTGTTAAAAAGGTGCAGAGCTACTAACAGCTCTATTCGTAAACTTCTGCCTACCTCTGCTCCGCTGGGATCTTCCTCAAAATTACAAGCACTCAAAGAAGTTGTCAAGGCTAGAGAACAAGTGTTATATTTCGCAGCTAAACGGTCACTGTGTGTGGAAATTGGTAGAAATCGATAGATGGAAATGGTAAAATCACATGCGCAGGACTCACTTCCGTAACAACTGCTTGGTTGAAGGACAGAAATGCATAATTCCTTCAAAAAGAGTCGTCTTACTAACTAGTTTTTTTTGTCTTTCCCACACATCATTGGTGGGGATACCGGTTCTGCTGTGTTGATAGTTTATACTACCTTCTTCTGAATGGGAATTCTGAAATCCTCTGCATACATTGCTTCAACGAGAACCCTCATGCATGTTTTAACTTCAATATGCTAGGTCATCGATTCGTATATGACGAAATATTACTTTTCGTTAAATAACCTTTTTAATGATTCACACTGTGGTAAACCAGACTGATTTCGTATTGTATGCATTAGCATATCAACTTTATATACTTACCAATGCACCATAATGATTCCAAAGTCTAAGATGATGCGTACAAACTATGATTTCTAATTAACCAACCTTCTGGTCGTGAGGGTAGTATATGCGCTTCCCAGCATAGGCTAAGAGTACCAGGAAACGCAGGTAAGCCAATCGATTAAGATCAATAGCAAATTAAAGCCGTGGACGTCTTTCGAATGTCCATCCATGAAATACTCCAACAAAGGATGTCGTACTAACTACGGTGACATTGGAAGAAAGGTTTAAATCAGTCAAATCAAAGTGTAACAAGTTCAGATCCTCTGATCATTAGTCAGAATAATGCAATAAAACCAACGTGATGTTAGGAAAAAGTGGTGAGACTTCATGACAGCTTTAGATCACGCGCCTTGGCACAAAGGCATAAGTTGTGCATATCAGTATTTTCATTAGAATTTCGCTTCCCTTACACTCAGATCTTTTAAAGCCGATTTCGCTGAGGCACACTGTCGACCAACTCATCTTCAAGCAAGCGAAAGAGCCAACACGAAAAGTAAAGCAGAACTAATACTAATAGCTGTTACATTGACGTGGTGGTCGAGCTTACTTATCAAAATGTCCCCCAACGAACCGTGCTGGTATAGTAATTGTTCCTTAGATGTGCTACATTGGTAGAAAAGTATGTTGAGTAGTGACAGGACGAAAATCAGTTAATGTTGTAAATAAATTGTTACATTATCATGAGGGTTCAAGAGCGAAGTCGTACTATTGGCTGGCTGGGGTGTGTGAAAGCAGTATAATGCTTTCGTTGGATGGTCAGTATTGCCGTGTTGATCCTACCTACCCGATAGGAAGGGAAGATGGGAACACCAAGTACGTATTTAAGGGGAGGTAGCGAAGCGTTTATTTGAATATGATAGTAATGCTGATCCTGACAAAACCTTGAGTGATACAGATTACCCTGTATAAGTAACGGCAAAGACAGTTGGTAATACAGACCCTAAGGTTAACAAACTTCATAAGGTTTCCGAAGCGTCATCAAAACCAATTGATACGACTAGGATGATTCCAGGTGGCTCTGATCGCGATGAAGAAAAAAACTTCGACATATATTTACCAAAGGTCTTCACTACGGTGGCGAAAACAAGAGGAATAGAGAAGGTATCAGCGTTGGGCAACTACTTGGACTTATGAAGAATATCAGCAAGAGGAAAACGATGGTGAGTGAAAACCACCGAAAAGAATGAGACGCTGACAAAATCTAACATATGGCTAGCACGTTGAGCGGCACACACTGGAGCATAGTTCAACAAGTTCACAGTGCGTTTAGTTATTCCGCTTGAATGTGAATGGGACGTAGATGTTGATTCTCCGACCCGCGTCGATGGTGAAGCTGTTACCAACCTGAAGCATCAAGACGTGAAGTTCCCAAAGATGAAGGAAGGAAATGGTCAATTAAAGTGAGAGAGGTTCTAGGTAGTGCACGGGAATCAGTGCTGTCGTCAAGCTTACTCATCGTTACAGTCTATATGAAAAGCGAGATAAATCTTATGACAACCATAAGGCGATCAGTATGACTAATAGCGCGTCCAAATTCTTGGGGTCATAGTTACACGACTCCTAACCACCATCAAAGAACAACAAACTCGAGAAAAAATGTTTTAGATATGGGTGAGGGTGGATCCTTTATGTTTTTACCCTTTCACAGGTTTTTAAACACAGGCATACCTACTAGTGGCCGACGCTTGCCCCATATCTTGACTTGAGGGCAGCGGCATTTGACTCCGTCAACCATAGTCTGACTGTGACGGGAGTACCAAGCAGGTGTATAGCTCTAGTTAAAGCTGTCTACTTGAACTCACGCAGCCCTGCAAGAGCTTACAAAGAGTTTTCATTCGACTTGACGACAACTAGTAGTGTCGGCTAAGGATATGCGCATCATCATCGTCCATATTCAATTCAACTTTCGCATTGATATACCAAAGGACACAATTTCTGTCTCTGACTAGGTGACGACGCTGGCAAAATGCAGGGTCTTCTGAAACCCTCGCCCAGAAACTTGAGCATAGTTGGCTGGCTTGAGACGATACCTCAGGACTGGTTTCCAACTACTCTCAGTTTAGTGATAGATAGTGAACTGGCTCAATGCGTCAACCACTTCACTCGGGAAGTTGCATCGGTCCAAACGGGCTGGTTGCTGACGACATCTCAGATCGGATACAGAAGGCTCGATTGGCCTTGGCTAACTTGCGTTACCTGTTGCCCGTGCTATTTCCAACTATCAATCAAAAGACGAGTATCCTTTGCCGCAGTCGACTCTGTCCTGTTTTACGGCTGAGGCATGGTCATTAAAAGTAGGAGTTACTAAACGACTGCAAAGTTTTGATCACAGATATCTTTATAGCACTGCTCGCGTTTGGTGTAATCACCACGTGAGCAATGTTGAAGTCAGGCGAAGGATACTGAACAAGTAAGTGGTTGAGGTTGTGAACCTTTATCGACTGAAGTGGCTAGGGCGTGCGTTGAGAATGCCCAGGCACCACCTACCTCGACGTGTCATGCTATGTCATGGATCGGAAGAGGGTTCAGGGTGGCCAGACCAAAACGTGCCACTCTTTGATGAAGTCCTTGACTGTTGGTTCGAGTAGTGTTGGATTGTGTAGTCTACCTGGCTAGAGTCCTCGCGCTGCAGGGGAATCGGCGATTAAGGAGTCTTGGTGACAAGTTCAGAAAAAATAAAAAGGCCGAAATAATTTGCGTGAAATTCTGTTTAGCTGATTGGGTCAGCCAGCTCTATTCTTCTGAAACTTGTGTCAAACATGAGTGAAAGCTGGTCGTGAAGAATCACGATTAGTTTTCCTGTCAAGAAAATACTGAAAGTTTCTTGTATTCGACTTTGTTTTATATTGACAAATATTGTTCATTTTTGAGTGGGCTTTATTCCAGTAGATAGATCACATTGAAACTACACTAATTAAGTAATACGAAATTGCTTACTATTACATACTGAATTCAAAAGAGCTAGGATTCTTAGACATCTACAGCAATAAAAATAATTAGATTTTACTCCATTCTAAGCACTCCAACAGTTCAAGCAATTCTAAACAGTCTAATCAACCCCAGTTATACAATAATAATTTACACGTATTTTAAAAGATAACGAATGAGATTGGATGATCCTCTTATAAGAGATTCGAAAAAAGACAATCAACAAAATCATTATGACACTATCATATTCCTTCATTTGGGTTTCGAATAGAAGAATAGGACCAAACATAGTAGCTTAGAGTACCCAGTTAACACTTTCAGATACATATTTTTTCTACATTTCAGTTTGCTTTAACGCCCGCCAAGTCACCAGTGGACGATGCTTTACAGAATAGTAGAGAGACACTCAGGTGACAATCAATATGGTTGTTTAATACTTAGTGCTGAAACAAGTCAACAGATTGAGTGTAACGTCGTCACCAATCTCAAAGGTACGGCATTCTATATACGATTTTATCTACGCGCATCGTCTTAACGTGAACATAACTCGAAAAGAATACCGATGGTATTTTAAAAAGACAAATTATAACTCTGTACAAGTATGCATATTAAAAGAAAAAAATTAGTTATATTAGCTTTCGAATGGTTTGGAGCGCGTGCATTTTCATATCTGAAAAATAAAAACGAATTCAGAGATCAAATTCCGAAATGAAATAAACTGAATGGCAGATGAAAACTAAGAAATCTCAAAAATTGCTTATTTGCGCTGCGCTTGTCGAATGCAAAAAGATTCCATGTGGAAAAACAGTGAAGCAATGGAGATCTGAGTGTTAGTTGATGAAATTTACAGTAGCGATGACAACAAGTTAGGAGTCAAACCTGAAGTTCTCACTGTTGATTGTAATTTACGGAACAAATAATGTTAGGATAACTTGTGACGTCCAGAAACTTGGCGAGTTACGAAAAGCATTTCCAACAAAATACAGACATTCATCAACAGCTGCCGCCTACGCCCACTCAATACTGAAGACCAGATGGTCAGAATAATAAGAATAAGCAACAAGGAACTCTGGTCGGGCAACGAAACAACCAAGAACTCATCGCCCAACAAATATGCAGAAGAAAGTGGAGATGGATTGTATTGGACACACACTGAGAAGACCGTTTCGAGACACCACTCCCCAGACCAGGCCCTCAAGTGGAATCCAAAGGGGAAACGACGAGTTGGGCGTCCCAGCTGGGGGTGACATGGAGGAGATCATGTGAGGAAGAAATGAAAGCGTTTGGGCAGTCGTGGAGCCAGGTTCAAAAGACTGCAGAGAAGGGAGTGGAATGGAGACGTGCAACTGAAGCCCTGTGTTCCACTAGGAACCCAAGGGACAAACAATATAATAAAATTTGTACCGCAACTGAATGATAAAACAGTTTAGTTAGATATACAAGACGGTCAACATGAGATAAATATTGACAAAGCGAACCTAGAGAAGGGTATGAGATAAAATACTAAATAGGTATATTGTGGAAGGACGTTCAAGATATAGGATATCCTAAAGACAAGAGGCATCTGTGGAACTGGTTCTGAACCTATGTATGTACAGGCAGATACGCCTTTTATGTCTAGGACAGGGTAAAAACCTGGAGGATAGTACGTTCCGGAAGCCCTAGGTCTTTATGTACTCGTGTTGTAAAATGTTTTAACAATAATGGACGTAAAAGGCAGAGAAAACTACAAAGAAGTCACTTACCAGATGATGATATTACCTGTCTGTAATCTCACCTATGTGGAAACTATTTTTAAAGCACACGAAAAGTAGGTTTAAATTCCTTTCAGAAACTAGAAGAATCTAACGATGACTTTTATGGTGAGAATGTTTCGAATGGCTTGACTTCCTAGAAAATGACCTTGATGACCCAACATCACCACTTCGACTTGTGGATTGTCGACTAGATCGATGTGAACCCATTCTTTGGCTTGAATGGTTGGAGTTTGAACGAGATTCCGTCGAAGTTATCGAATCCCGAGAATCGCTTCTACGACTATGATAGGAATGACGGGAAGTTGTCTTTCTTCGACTTGAGTGTTTGGTTTGAATTCGTGAAGTCTTAACATTTATTTGTTTTTCTTTATCGCTTTTATAGCGCTTCGAAGATTTATGACGAGAACTGGGAGAATGAGAATGTTTTCTATCATGCTTTTCCTGTGTAACTTCACGTTTCACATTGCTCGGGGCAATTTGATCATCTGGAAGACAAAGCATATTACAGTGAATTATAAAAACGAAAAGTGAGATTCCTACATTGATCGGAAACTTCTCAGACCACCGGTCAGCCTACTTTAAAGATATACCAGTCACAAGACATGACGGGCATAAACGTCGCATCTTACATGCTGCATAATCACTTTTATTTTTTTTAAAGTAGTCGAACCCTCCAATTAATGATGAAACAAATGAAAAATCTGGTGAAGTAGCGTCTTCCAATACATTAGGATACCCAATTGGTTAGGAAGCGAGTAATGTACATCAGAAGAGTTTTAAGGGCAAGTTGAATCCTGGACGAGTTGATGTGCGCCACTGACTTCTTTAAGCCACACATGAGAATCTTTCCCGCAAATGGGAACGACTTCAACACAGTGTAGAAACAACGACGCATCTTAGTTTGGAAGTATTTGCCTAATCGCAATATTGTTTTTGCAAAAACATTCTATCCTCTTTTCCGCACAAATAATTCATCGATAGAAACCTTTGAACAGAGTTATTGGTAGTACGATAATACAACGAGTTCGAAGCCCTAGTAAAAGTTGACTGGAAATCTGCGTATTTTGAAGTCAGTAGTTCTTTACGAAACACTAACTCACTAATTTTAAAGTCAGCAACAGATTTGACTCTCAGTCGTGATATTCGTTTTCTATTCAACGAAAATTTTGGTAGATATAAGGATTTAAAATAGAACTGATTGAACCATTCCGCCTTACAAGAGTTCAAACTATTCTTACAAATTTGGCTTCAGCTATGCACTCAAGGCATACTAGTTTCACTTTTGACCAAGCTGTCAAAAGTAGTCAGGACAAATTCACTGGAAATATTTTGGTAAGCAGACACCTGATTTTTGTATTTCCTACGACCAATCCAAATTATGATTTTGTCATTCATAATGGTAAAGTTTTATCTCAAATGCTATTGTCTACTATGATATCATTCGTTTTGCATCCATCTGATCTTCGAATGCTGTTGTGAAGCGGGGATTTGAAGCTATATATTTCCGTACCAGGACAGGCGTTCATTAGCCTGAAACCAGTGTGGAGATTTTCTGCACTCAGCATGCGGAACAAGATACGGATTTTCAACACCAACGTCAAGTCAGTGCTTCTGTATGGCTCAGAGACTTGGCGCGTCACGAAAGGGATTTCCAACAAACTACAGACATTCATCAACAACTGCTTACGCTGGCTCGCTACTGAAGATCAGATGGCCAGAAAGAATAAGCAACAAGGAACTCTGGGAACGAACCAACCAAGAACCTATCACGCAACAAATATGCAGGAAGAAGTGGAGATGGATTGGCCATGCACTGAGAAGGCCGACTGGGGACATCACGCGTCAGGCCAGTCACTCGAGTGGAATCCCCATGGGAAGCGACGAGTTGGACGTCCGAGGGTGACATGGAGGAGGCCGTGCGAGGAGGAAATGAGAGCTTCTGGGCTGTCGTGGAACCAGGTTCAAAAGATCTCAGAGAACAGAGGTCACTGGAGACGTGCTACTGAAGCCCTATGTTCCACTAGGAACCCAAGGGACTAATAATAATAATAATAATTTCCGTACCAGGTTCCACGCTTACTTATTTGTTTGTCTATCAGTAATTTGCAAGCAAAGTACGATTGGCAGCTTGGAACGTACAAATGAAATAAACTTCGAGAACCTGGGAGAAAGACTGTTTCCGCAAGAATTTCATAATGCTAGTCACGTTCTGAAAGTAATGTTCCCAGCATTCAAATGGCACACAAACAAAAATAATCTGGTGTCGATCAACAATGTTGCTGTTTGTTTTCAAGTGGATAATTTTTTCATCATATTGATTTTTTAAAAGACTTGGTTAGAGAATGTTTGGTCACCGTCTTCGAGGGTAAATCATCTTGTAAAGTGTCTCGAGTGGCATCATCAAGTTGACCGTTGAGAGTTTCCATTGCTATGCACTGTGATTCCGGTATTTCGGTGAGAAAAACTAAAAACTTTAGTGGCACCACGCGAATACAGAATCTATTGTCTAAGATGAAAAGCACTAAATCTATGGCTGATAACAATCATCAGACGTAATTTTGACAGATTTTGGACGGTGAACTTATACGGGTAACATTGTAAATAAAGATTGAGCCGTTGTAAAACCATATGTTTCAAAAAAGCGTCAATACCAAAATTTGCAATTTTCTTCAAACAAATAAAAATTAGTTCACCAAGGCAAAAATGCACTTGAATAAGTTCAAGGGTTTCCAGAAGGACAATTTTTTGCAATCAGAAAATTTTGACCAAAATAGCCTATGGATTAAACCGTATTGCTTTTAAACATCGATGATTCAATAATAGATGGCAATGCCCATGGACAAGTAAGGAAGCAGGCTGCAACAATAGAACAAAGTCTCACTATAGACCATTGCAATATTTGATTAGGTTGAGGAAAATGTCGCTACAATCAGAAATCAAACAGAACGTCCTGACCACAAATGAAACACCATTTTCAGGGGAGTTTTCGAAAAGAAAACTGATAACTACGGACTTATGTTTTAGAATATGGAAAGTCTGTCAACAGTAGTTCTCGCACCGATGTACCAAGTGGCTTCAGCGACAGCGATGAGAGCATGAAAAATGAAATACGTATCAATCCAAAAATAGATAGCAAACCTTGACAATGAATGAGCAATGCAGTAATAACGAAACAGCGATCGTCAATGCGAGTGCATTGTTTCACACATATTCTTTAAAGCAAACATAAAACAGCTTAAAATGTGCTAAAAATATCCAATATTAAACAGAAAAGAAAACTTCCGTGTAATGAAAAAGTGGAAGTAAACAAATCAATGGTAATAAATGCATAAAACCGGCATCTTGATCTCTCCAGTAAATCCCATTAAGTCCACAGACGATACATGATACTGGATTTCGGTGAAATTGAAGTATTAAGTAATTATTTCACTTACTACCAAATCACGAAGAGATGACCCTTGCCTCCCATTAGAAAATGTACGAATATGTCACACATTTAGGAAGTGCATCAAAAGAGCAGATAGTAAAAATGTAGTGAATAAATTCTAATGAAGGGGTGTACTGTTTAAGTTTCTCAAAATCAGTACAGTCAAATCCATCATCCAGTGGATTAGAGCTTGCCATCAAGGATTTCTCAAAATGTCCCAGTAGGATGTAAAAGTATTTCACCTTAATTATCTGTAGACTTACTTTCGTTGTTCTCATCATTAAGATAATTCTGTGATGCAGAACCACGTTTTACATCATCAGCCTCATCATCAACTGGTAGGATACCTGATAAATTATCGGAACGTATTCTGTAATCCATTCTCGGCTCCGAATCTGACTCACTTTCACTATTGTATGAAACTAGACCTAACAGAAAGCAATAAGAGAAAGAACGATAGTCACAAAATCTTGCTTGGAAATTCCTCAAATCATACAGTTAAAGTGTATCTTTAATAATGATCTGATCGGTACTGTAGATATTCCTAATGCATAGACCGATGTATTTCTGTAGTTTGAAACAAACCTAACTCGTAAACACATAAGTGCACTAGAACTGAATATAAGGATTTTCCGCATATTTAACTTTTACTGGTCCTACAAACCCCTTACAACGAATTTCTTTGTTGTATAAATAACTGAAGCCTCAAGTCATCTTAAGGATCTTAGTTTTAAAATTACTATCGTGTAAATGAGAACAAGATATATAAGCAAATAATATTGTTTTTAATTAAATCCTCTTCAGGCTTCACTCCAATACAAATAGCTTCACATGTATAAAATTAAAACAATCATACTCCCTTGACCAGGAAATACTTAGTTAACTTTATCATTCAGTTTTTTCCTACCCCTTTTCTTATTCTTCACCCCTTTCATATACCTACTGTATTTGTCTAGGCTTTGTTCAGTATTACGTAACTTTTATTTTCTCAAGCTTTTGACCCACTTTGATTATCGAGGTGTCTACCTTTCCATGTTGCTTTCTTGGTTCTTATCATCACTATCATCCACATTGCATGTGCTTTAGTCAACGTAACCACTTTTATCAATTTCATTATGATTAGTATTATTATCCCAGTCGTTATTTTAAACATTTACTACATCAACTGACAAATGTACATGACTGGTTTAATTATATATATATATATATATATATATATATATATATATATATATATACATATATACATAAAACTATTTATATTAGAGTAAACCCTAAACAGGATCTAATTGGAAACAAAATTGTTTGCTTATACGTCTTGTTCTAATTTAAGGATCAGATAACAGTGGTGGTAGGAAAAAGTTGCTCAGTAGGATTTTTAACCATCAAATTGTACATGTATCACCTATAAAATTAAAACAAATTACTTCCAGTGAAATGTGTCCTAGACGTAATTACATGTCTAACGTGTGCTAAAGAAAAACAGATGATCATGGTGCAAACGCAACCAAGATTTCAGTAACGTCTCTATTGTTAGTGGTAGCTAGTTTTATCACGCATTTCATGGTATCTAGTTAATTACTGAAAGCCAACCCAGAAAAAAGATCGTACATGTTGGACTGACCTATTCACAAGAAAACATTAGAATATAGAATATCTACACCCTAGATAACTGAAGAAGCTAGAAATTCTTAAAGGGATTCATAACTTATCGTATTACTCGAAAGCCTCTAAAAATAGGAAATTTGTACCCAAAACTGCTTGGTAAGATTGGTTTGCAAAATACGATGAAACCGAGCTTTTGCAGTGTTTGCAAAACCTCAGACTCATATATAGTGAAACCTATGCTTTTGCACATGAATGACCTGAAAATAAACTTTTCCCCAGAAACGAGCGACAAGTACAGTGAATTTGAAAGCTCACAAAAGTATATCAGCATACAAACTATGCAAAAAAGCACCCGAAGTGACTATTTATAGAATCTGAATACTTGCACTTCCAGTATTCAGTCCAAAAAAAAGATGCAGCAGTTAGTTATAGGCTGTAAACTTACCTAAAAGAGGAGATTTTATTTCAACAATTGACCCATCATCCTTTGATGCTGTAGCCTCTGGTTTGTTTGAAATAGCTTCTGAAGTCATAACCTCGTCCACTATATCATCGATTAGTTCAGTTGTAACTGCAAGCAGTGCTTCTGTCAAAGTGCGAGTAATAAAGCGAGCCTAGATAAACGAAATGCAATTTACTGATGATTAGAATCCATCAAGCCATATATATATATATATATATATATATATATATATATATATATATATATATATATATATATATATATATATATATATATATATATATCAATGAATGTTAATCATACTGATTGCTTTCTACGAAGGATGCGTAATAAGTACTTAGGTATCATTCCACAGATGGGGTTATACTAAATGTATTTTGGTGAGGTAGTGCAGCAGAGCAACTAGGTTAGGGTTTCAGTCCAGCATCTTATTTTTCATTCAAATTACAGTTCCTAAAGCTAATGACCTTAATACATTGACACATGCGTAACCGGGAGTGAAAGCATAAAAAGCGATATTTGACAACAGAAAAGTAAATATTTTAATCATGCTATAAAAAACAAGTGCATTCTTTCCCACATTTCTTCAAAACTAGTAAATAGTTTAACATTGAGATTTTTCTTGCAATTTTAATTGATATGTTGACGTTATTATTTAGGTTCAACTCTAACGCAGTACATCTTGATTTACTAAGCTAGGGAACTGCATCTAGTGTGTGCGAGTTCACCATACTATGCACTTTTTCAGGTCAAAGTGAAGTAAAATGACAAATGACTGATAGCTGAATATTAAGACTGGTAAATCACCGCTTTTTAGTTCTAATATAAATCAGTTACTATCATTCCTAAGATCACGAAATACATTGCTCAGTGAAATGGATTTGAGACTTTCATTGACTGACAGATTTGGTAGCTGATAAATTAGGTTTGTCAAGCATTTAAGTAGGGGGAGGGGAGTATTTAGGCACAGTAATCCACGTGCACCTAAATATATGATGCAACTCAATACACATATGAACTAATATGCCAAACTGTGTTCAAACTAGGGTATCAGAGATGAGAACACTATTCAGCTAACTAGTCAAAAATAAATGGAGTAGGTTTGATCACCTAATCTACTTATTTCAAGCGTATCCGGCATATATTATGCGGATAAGTTCACGAAAAAGACCTAAAGAAAGTAAGACACCTCGTCTCCTAGAAACCCTTGGTAAAATTTGCTGTGAAATTGCTAAATTCGTAACTTCTCATTCTAAAGTAAAAACTGAATGAACTCAAAATGTTGGAAAAAGAAGAAAAAGTAAAAACGGGCCTACAGCAATGAATTGATTATAACATTTTCTTACCGTTTCTGTTCGTTGTTCTTCCTCCGACAATAATGCGAATAACTCACGAAATTCTTGCTGGGTTAACGGATGGACAGGCTGTTCGTGCACACCAGTTTGAACACGAAAGTTCCAACATTCGCAAAACCAAATACACACCAAACATGTGCAGAGAATGAGTGTGAGGTAGGATCAACTTGAATAAAGTCATAGTTAATGACAATATATGTCAACTGATCAAAGTGCTAGATAATAAAATACTTAGAAATCTCGGAAAAGTTTAGTCTACTTTTCCCGATGCTTCCTCAAAAATAATGCATTTTCTAGAAGAATCCCACTTATACAAAAATGGGTCCAATGTGCGAGAAATCCTATATTTCTCAGTTAACTGAAACAACTCAATTGGAATAGAAAGCAAAGTATCCTTGATCAAAAAGGTAAAGAACGGCTAGGCCAAGTTTAAATACCATGCAGTAGCGTGACGACAAAGTACTGAGATTTGCTTACAAGCTTCAATAAGCTTACCGTTAATGATGCAGTAGTATTGGATAAAATACTTTCAGAATTAGCTGTAGCTAGTTGTTTTTACCGCAGTTTTAGGGCTTGTGTTCCCTTCCGATTCTGTAACCAGCTGCCTTCGGGTGAAAACGGAGAACAAGAACCGTCGATCTGAGCGTTAACATGACTATCCGAGGCACCGACAGGACTTTCTTCCTTTTCATAGTCACCGCCATCCGACTCTTCGTTGTTATTCAGTAAGGAAAAGTTAAGTGTGTGGACATCGGATTTGGCTTCGTCTTCCATCACGATGTCACCTTCATCATCCCTTTTGGCATCTGGAGCAGCTCCTAAAACTGTTTAAAACATTAAAAAATTCCAAAATTCTGATCAAAGTGAATAGAAGAATAATCTAAACTCTAGCGAACAGAATGTGATAAACCTGTGAATGATATCTAAGTTCCCCAACAGTATTAGCCAGTTAACTGAAAATGTTTTTGATAAGTTAAGTCAAAATGCTATTTCTTCTTTGAAATAACACGTACGTCCCAGAAAAGACATTGCTGGATGAAAATTACAGAAGACATTGTCAACAACAATCGTGGATATCAAAATTTAAACTTTTCTTATTGATCATCAGACACCACAATGATCCTGGTAGACTGAATAAAAACCTAGATACTGAATATACAAAATACTGGCATAAAAGAAACAAGTAAATCTAGAACCTGGTGGGGAAGTATGTCAGTTCAAACTGCTAATTCCCAATAGAACGCAGAGATAAGACGAGTAGGAAACGAATATTAAAGCAGATAACAGCTACTGAGAGAAGACTATACCTAGACGCGGGTTAAAGAAGACATTGAAAACTCCGAAGACCACAAACAGTCTATTTGTTTACGCCATTATCCCTGATTTTAAGAAATATCACCAAGGGTCTCAAACCAATGATTCGTAAAGTGTTGAACACCTCAGTCACTCAGCCTACACTTCCCTAAATGGTTCAGATGAATAGAGACTTTATGAGCTTGCGCTAAAGCTCAAATATCCTTTTCAATAACTACTTGTCACGTTCTACAATTACAAAATCGAACTTGGCAGCAGGGTAATGGCTAATTTTACGGTGAATACATGCTAAAATAAGTACTGCTCAGCAGTATATTAGCCTTCTTATAAGTAAATGGCTAGATATTTTGCCAGAGCCGATAATATCTGTAGACAAATGCTTGGCGGGCTGTTTATATCGAAGCTGATTTTTCTTTCACTAACCAATCTATTCAAGGATATGCGATTCTCTAAGTGAAGTAGTCACCTCTACTATGAGTTGACATAAATCAGCGCTCAATCACCATCTTACATTTTATACTCGACAGGTGCAAAAAAGGCAGATGAAACATAATCAGATTTCGGTTAAAGGTGTTTAAAAGACTGCCTTTTGTCACAATCATCAATTAACAGATCTATATCGTTCGAGCAGTCCACCAAAATTAGCTAATCTTTAAGCAGTAAGTTAATCCTTGAGATGTCAGAGGTATCAAGGGTTATATCTACCAGCATGTCTCTAATAAAGTTAGGCAATGGTGACTTGGAGAACAGTACTGGTCGTCGTTATTCGAGATGACAACTCTTTGTCAGTTTGTTTACGCCCAAATAAGTTCGAGTAGACGGCGTTGATTGGCGCTTCATACTTTCTCGGTACTACCCTCATAGTCAGATACTGCCATAACAACTTCAAATCAACAGAGTCGAAAACCGCCTTCAAGTTTAGAAATGCTGATAGTGTCCAGTGACGTATGTTTTAAGATCTCTCAAATGATGAGGGTTCGGTCGACACAATCTCATTCAGACATGAGGCCTGCCGGGTTTTCACCAGTCTGTTGCTCTCGAGTCGCAGTTAGGCATCGCGTGAAGCCGGATACGATGTGAATGAAACTGACTTTTGATTGTCATTTGAGGATTTATTTCCATTCTAATAGATTGAAATGGTCAGTGAAGTGGATAAGTCTGATGGAAGTACCTCTTATTCATATTCACTAGCTATCACCATCACTCTACTCAGTAGCTTCTTACCTCCATGATTGAAAACTTCTAGTGATGAACCATTAGGTCCTGCTGTTCTGAATCATCTAAGGTTTGAAACAGCCTTCTCAACTTTCGTGAGGCTTGACGGACCAACAACTACCTTCCATTCAGACAGACAAGATCAACATAGGACCAGGCATTACTGCGTAACGGTCCAAGTTGCTGCGCTTCATGTCAAGGTATAAGACAAAGGTAAAGAAACAAAGAAAGCAAAGTGGCAGAAAGCCGTGACAAGATAACAAAGAAAAGTTAGGAAATACTGAATCCAGTATGAGCGTTACATCCAGGTTTGGGCTGGATGCTATAGGCCAGCTAAACCTTTCTTTAAAGTGCCCCCCCCCGCATTCAACCGCAAGTTCTGAGAGGTTATCAGGATGTTATCACTAACCCAAACAACTGCCAAATACTACGTGATCATGATATCTATCTTTCAGTGTTCAGCCCACTGTTATAGCCACTATATAGTCGCATAAAATTAGCAAGCCTGTTTACTGTCAAATGCATTTTGAACTGAAAATAGATAACCAGGTCTGGGATGTTGAACCAAGAATGTCATCAAACCGATTCGGAATTAAATGTATGTGAATTTCAATACAATGAGAAAACGAAAGACACACAAACTTAACTCTTAAAGTAATTGTATGGTGAAACCCGCAGCACTGTTGCCTGTTGGACAAGATTGAGTTAAAGGAGTTAGTGAGATTCTTTAACGAAACTATCTGTTGTGGATAGCACCATAGCGTCATTGTACACACTGACATAGGTGAATCAAGATTTATCTCGAACTATAAGCTTTTTGGTGGAAAGGTTGCACAGGTTGCAGTGAACTTCTAATCAGTAGTTTTAGACCCTCTATCTACCGGGACTTGGCAGTTGGGTAAATCCCTTACATAATAAGATTAGTTCGTTGCCTAGTTTATGTAGCTGTGCACGGTTGTTGAGTTATATTTCGTTTTTCGACTTTTATGTACGCCATTGCTTCCCATTTGTTGCATTTCGGTCATATATATCTCTTTACCTTAAAACGATTTAACCAAAGCTATTTTTATTGAAGAAAAACCAAAAGGTTGAAATTCACTCAGCAACCTTGCGCATATTCAAGTGGTAAAGAGAAAACCACATCTACTGTGCAGGGATTAGTGGTACCACCTGGAGTCCCAAACCTCCTTAAGTGGGGCGGGGCTCTGACCAGTGGTCCATTGGTTGTCATCTCCCTAAACCAATGAGCCACAGCCCCGCTCTTTACTGAGACTTATTTCGCCTGGATTTTGCAAATGTCACACCATTTCCACAGCTTCCTAAAATATTATGTAAAATGCGGGAAAACGGGCAAAAGAATATTTTACCTTCAACCAGTTAAGATTTCACCCAGTAAAACCAACCCGCTAGTGGTAAGAAGTTTAGTATTTACGACCAGTGAGTCAAGTGATATCATACAAACGGTACTGTACTACTATTTATTCCAAACTAAGAGTTAGGCGAGGTTGAGATGTGTGGTAGAATGAGATGACAAAATGCAACCAGGTCCCTCAATGAGTAAAGCTAGTGCAGAAAACGTTACCATAGGTGAAATGTATGACGCGTGAGCACGACAAAAAGTCAAAACTCCTGGTAGTTGTTACAACCATGCGTTAGGAAAATTTAAAAAATATCTACAGCGATTTTCGGTACTGTTTCAAGCCATGTGACAAGACATAAATAATCGAAACTGGATCCCTAGGATAACAGAGACTGCGGTGGTATCATGATTACCGATATGATAATGAATCCCTCCTAGACAGAACAAACATTTTTACCCAGAAAATTCGATAGTTCCATTTTTTCATTGATTTCGTCCATAAAAAGCATTTGACTGGTGAAGGTCAAGGGTAGTGTCTTATTTGAAGGTCTATAAAAATTAATTTGTCCACGACAGCCGAATTGCATGCTACGTATACGTTATCACTACCTAAAACTATCTCACTGATACAGAAATAGGTTTTATAAAACTACAAGGGTGGAATATAAGATTCAAAGCAATTACTAGAAATGTTGATTATCGATTCGACTCCCAACAAAAATTTAAGGTTGAGGATCCACAAAGGAAACTAAGTGATAAGTTTCTAAATTAAACCAATGATTTTCAAAATCTTACAGTGCTATGCAAGAACTAAATTGAACAAATTAACTTCTCACTTACCGGTAGCTCCAGCAACGGCTGCTAGTTCTTTAGCCTTTTTCTTTTCCAATTTCTCCAACTCATCACGAAGCCAAGCAGGTAAAGCTCGTGGTTTGACACCACCGGCTCCAGTTTGCTCCAATTCCAATCCTTTAAGAGGCCATGCTCCAGTGCTAACAGCAGCTTCTTCTGGATTAAAAAATCACAATATGTGAATCAGATACTGTCGACAGTAAATAAGACATAATTCAACTTAACAAGGTAAATATGTTCAAATATTAAGCTATCTTTATGAAGGCTTATGATACTCTACCCGATCGTCCAGACCGAAGTGGAGCTGGATTTGAACCCAGGACTTACTGGTTGGAATTAAAAGGCTTAAGTTAATAAGCTATGCCTAAAATAAATATATCATTCGAATACAGTACACGATGCGTAGTTTTTTTAGACCAACAGGCCTCAACTCGTAGGCTAAGATGTAACAGCCCAGTTTCAAATTATGATGTAATCCAGCTTTTTTCATTGTCGAACAAGTGATTATCTACATTTGGTAAGGTCACCAAAAGGGATAATTAAGTGGAGTAGGTTTTCTTAATGTATTTATGTATTTCATTTATGTATCACACATATAACAGTATTGCTGAAAAATAGGGTGTATCTGCACCATTATAGTGTTAAAACTGTCAAACTCCTTGCCTTTCTCGTTATTCGTATTGTCTGATTACTACGTAACTTTTTACTACCCTATTTCAGTTTTGACACTACTATAGTGATCCAATTATATCTTATTGTGATACATATAAATAAGACAGCACAGCTTTGGAAAATTACACCGTCAAAAAAGAAAACCCTCGCTGGATTTTCCTAGCCGGTAGTATTTTGTGCATAACAGTAAGCATTACGTCACCACCTGATAATTTCCAACCAGACAAACTTCGTGCATACGAGTCAATTTGTTCTTCGTTTTTGTGTCGTCAAAATATGTTAAACAGATGTGTTACATAAGAAATCTGTCATCTATCAAATCACTTACAATGTTGATAAACTCTTTGAAACAAAATATTCTCCATAATGTCATACATTAGTGCCGACCAAGAAACTTTGCTTTTTAATTAACAATAAAAGACGAAGTATACACGTAAAACAAACTTATCCTATAAATCATTTGAGGTAACAGTCAAAATGAGTTACGACTTGAAAACTAGGGCGCGCTATTGGTCAGTCGTAACCCCGAATCTCAGGACACAACAATACGTGAAGAATCCCCCAAAATCAGTGGGACCCGTTCACAGTCTCATACGCAGTGCTGATTAGATCTAAGTTACAAAACTGTATAATCGCCAATTCTTGCTTAGGGAGTAACTCAGATCTTAAGACTTCACTGAATTATCACATTTATGACAACAGAGATAGGCAGTGTGGAAAAACCTGGAAAGTTGACCATCTCTTTATCGTATTGCGAATAGAGACTGAATTACGTTGTAAAGTATATCAAGAGATGATTTTGAACCTAGTTTATCTTCTTTTTCTCTTTTCGCTAGATTAGAACACCTCAGACGATGCGGAAAAATGCGAAAATCAATGATTCTTACGACCGTTTGTACTAATAGAAACCGAATTTAGAATCAACTTTCAGAAGTGCAACCCATATCATCAATTGTTTTATCTGATTGTAAAGAGGAAAAATATAATGATCCGTTAGCAGAAAATTAGTATAACCACTTGGCTTTCTATCCTAGAAATATAAATAAACTAACCACTTCCTAACCATGACTCAAAACATTCGGAAGTTTTACGCCGTCATATTAGTGACGTATGTACAGACAAAGGGATGAAAAGAGGTGCAAAAAAGGTCCCCTCACAAATATGTAGTCTCACAAATCTCAGAGCACATCCCACAATGCATGTAAGAATGTTCTACAGACCACAGAAATGAAATCAGTGATTCACCTATTCAAGACAAATTTTATAATCACAATCGCAAAATAAAATTGAGCACTAAAAAAATGCCAAGTAAACTACAAATAGCATAGATTAGGTGTCAAAATATAATAATTTTGGAAACCTACCAAAAGCTGGTATCAGATGTTCCGGTACCGGTGGTTGTGCAATGCGCCCCCGTGGCTTACATGGCAGTTCTGTTGGTGTAGGAATAAGAGAAATGGGTCTGTTGTCCTTGGATTTATTCCCTAAAATAGATGGAAACGTCGTAGGATTTGGGTGATTACCATCGCCAAATGGAACAGGACGAATATCAACATCTTTCCAGTTTTCGTCTAAATTGTTGGAGGGAAGCGGTGAGTTTTGTGTCATGCGGTAGTCTTGGTCATGATACCCACGAAAGTGATTACTTTCCACCTCTGAGGCATATGCTCTCTGCAAGGAGCATATCTAGGTTCGTCCTGCATAAAATAGGAAAAAGGCACACACAAAGACAATTCATAAAAGCAAACATTCCCGGAATACCCACTGTACAACTGTTTTGGTGCATAATTGGAAGTACACACACAGTATGGTAAAAAAAACATGGGCTGTGGAAGAATTTGAAGTTCTAAGTGTGTCAACGAAATCTTCAGCCCTAGTAATAGATAAATTAAGTATTAGGTTTTCGGGAAAATAGTGCTTCTTAACACTCGCTAGTCATCAGTTATAACCACGGCTGTTGTAACAGTAAGAGTCAGTGCACATCACAACCAAATCTTCTGAAGATTGGGATACCGGTCCACCTTGTCGACTGATGATGTATCAAGCTCTTAGATGACATAAGTTTGGTCATCACAACATTGTGACAAGTCTTATGAATAATCTATGCTGGACCACACTGACATCTTAAGACATCAAAGCAGCAAGAACTAATCTCTACAACTGGATACGTAAACGGTAAAGTGCAAAAAAATATTAGAAGTCGCACACCAACCCACCATCCTTGCTTGATTGTAATGACCTGGGCGTTGATAAGGCATACCACTAAGCTCTGCAGGCGAATGAAACCTCTCTGTGGTTTCACGAGGCTCTGGATTTCTAGGCCACATGTTACGACCGCTTTGGTTAGAACGAGGATATACCTCACTGTAAGGATAATAAGGTCTAGCAACTGATGGATCGAAATGCCTTTCAACAGTATGCGAGTGATGGTAGTCATAAGCTTCTGAGTTATGACCATCACAGTCATAACTCTTCTGATCATTTTGATTCCATCTCCTTTGGTAGCGCATATCATGATTATAAGCATTTCCCGGGTTGGAATACGGTTCCCCATAAGGTGGTATAGAATGCATAGTAGGAATGTCCGAGATTTCATTGGATGGATGGTTGGTATATTGACGATTGCCGGGCTCGTAATGTTGAAAGGAACAGTTTGGCACAACAGCATTATGTTGATATCCCTGTGATACTTGGTTTACAGACTGATTTTCAGGCACTCCCCACCTACTTTGTGAAGACACAGAATTCTCCTGTGAGGGCCAAACAGTGTGTGGAGGTGCATGATTTTCATAGCCAGACCATGTGCTTTGTGGATGCATGCAATTCACAGAAGACCATGTATTTTGTGGATGTATGTAGCTGTTGTGAGCTGACCACGTATTTTGCGGAAGCGTAGGATTTTGAGAGGCTGGCCACAAGTTTTGCGGTGGAGGATTTTCAGCTGCGGACCATACGGTCGAAGAGGTCACTGGGGTTCCTGATGTTTGCCATACATCTTGAGAGCATGAAGTGTTTTCATGTGAGTAGAATACAGGGTTCTGAATGATTAAGTGGTCGGTATTGTCTTGTGCCACGTTAGAAATGACGCTATTCGCATCAGGTTGCAACTGAGTTGATGATCCCGATACCACACTTGGTGGTGGAGGTGGTGGGGGGGGAGGAGGTGGTGGTGGTGGCGGCGGCGGCGGTGGGGGAGGAGCAACACTGCTTGCATAATTGGACTGCATTTGGCTGTTACGCTGATTAACCCACTGTCTAGCCAGTGCAGCCCAACCGTCTGAATTATCAACCTTCTCTTCAACGACTGTCGGTGGAGGGCCATGAATAAGAGACTTCGTCCAGGCTGCAGTTGAAAAGTGAGGCCACATGACTAAAATAGAATGAAAACAAACATATAGTGTACGAAGCTATTCGGGTGAGATATTACAGCAGATTTAGAAATGAGGAATGAATGACTCTACAGAGTCGATTTCCTTAACATATAATCGTTCTTCTTGATATAACTTAATCGTAACTGATGATTACGACAAAAACTGGTTAGATCGCAACAGTCTACAAAGACAAATAGATCACAAGCAAACGCATACAACCCACACACTTTTGGCCTCCTGGTCATATTCAGTGTAGGTATTGGTGAAAGCTTCTCAAAGTAGTGGCACTTAAAGCCGAACCAACATTGAAAGGATTTTACTCGTATATGAACTGTTACCCTCAAAGCTGGAGAACAGAAATATCAGGCGGATATTCATGATGTAGTCACCCGGCACTTTTATCATCTACAAGTAATCATCCACACTTTCAGAATCACCGCAGAGCGATAGCCTATATCTGCCATCACAAATAAATGTGACAGGCGGAAACCATGCCTCACACAAGTCATTGGCTGCAAGCAAGCACTAATGTGTGACAATAGAAAAGTGACCGGAGTGGCTATCAGACGTAATCAGGAACCTACAGTTGTATATCCGTTACCACAACTAATGATCGCTTTGCATTTTTGAAAATCTTGTTGATTAATCTAGTGCTCGGACATCTACTTGGCTTACATACGTCCATCATTTCTGCATTCCAAATGAATCAAGATGGATTCCTGAGAACGATGTCTTGGGTGAGCAGTTTCAAAGATCATATCCGTAACATTTATTGGGAAAATCTGCAGTCCCTACAAAGGTGCCTATAGAGGTGTTACGGGTTGAAGTCATTCTCGATACCCACCAATATAAGACAGGAACGCGGCAATCTGATTGCAGCTAAAACCGCCCCTGGGGACATATGGCTTACAAATTACCACCTTCTTGTATGATGACGGTTTTAAACTGAGTGGTAAACTGAAGCCAATGCGTCTGTCGTAAGTTGTTAAACCAGTCGACTTTCCTCTGGTAGAACAAGTTTTTAATGTAAGTGACAAACCATGACATCGAAAAATATGTTGTACAAAACCTTAAGGTATGTGACCAGTACAATGATTAGATTTGATGTCGCACTGCGTATATTTATACAGCTAGAATAGAGATGAACTGTTATGCTGAACTGTCAACTGCAATTGCTGACATTCGTTCGAACTAAGACTACTCATAACGGTAACAGGCTTACGAACTGTTATGGACCGCACCGTGAATTGTGCCCTTCAGCTAGCGTCAGCTTTGAGTGAACTGCATCAGCTCACTTCCGATGGATCTAATGACTATTGAACACTTCATCAAAGTCTTGATTGCCTTCTGAGCAAAACATGTTGATTCGAGGACGTAAATGAGCCTTATCACACAGTTCTTATTACCCGTTCTTCAAAAGTGACATGACTAAGTACTATTCATTGCCTGAGTTACATGGGAAGTAGTTTGTTCTTTACCTACTCGAAACCAAACATAACATCCAATAGACCAGCAGATTTACAAGTGAAATGCTTTTCAGATACAAATGGGAACAGGAATTACAACAATCTAAGTAGCGCTCACCGGGAAATAAAATGATGAACACCTGGCAGAGACAACCGACATGAGCGGCTAAAACGTAGACCTACAATTTTAAACACGCTTCTCGCAAACGTTCTGTTAAATAAGTTTCTCTTTTACGTAACGGCAAAGGATATAAGAAATAAAATAAAAACCTTCTGAAAAAGATCACTTCTGCTTAATGTGGTCGACTTACGGTCTCCTGGAGAACACTGCATATTTGTGATTGAACTGGTAAATATAGTAATAATCATTGCTTTAATCTGAAAACTGTTCCGATAATACTCTACAGAACCTTCAGCACATTGTGGCGTCACACACTTCCCCGAAATTGATAACCTAGGGTTCGGCGACACTCAACGTTGATGCTGACCTTGATAGTTCAACTGAACTCGCTAAGCTGAAGACACCCGGTCAAGCATCCTCGCCATTTGGCACGCTGTCGTGTCACGTCACACTGCTCTTATTCGACTCTCTAACCAGTCAGTTGAGACTCATCGGTATCTTGGCACAACCATCCAAATATACTATTCCATCCTATTGTGTTCTTCCTTGGTCTCGAATTCGTGTGTATATAACAAGTCCGAATAATTAGTGATTGGTCTTTGCGTCTGTCAAGCTCACACCAGGACAATTCCTTAATTAGTGAGCCTGCCGTGATCACGCATCCCAACCAATAGCAATTATTTAATTGGTGAGCCTGTTCCATTTTATATTTGTTTATGGTTTTCATTTCGATAACATTTATGTATCCATTTACTACGCTTTCTCATGTCCGACCACACTCCCAAGCTTATTCTTATTAAGCCGACTACGAACACTATCCAACTCGTACCATATTGGCCAGGCAATGCAGAAACATGGTTTCTGTATGCTGAGGCAGATTTTCGAGAACAGGGCGTCTCAGACCCTCACTCTCGATTTGTTGCCGTCACACGTTCACTACCGCGGGAATTAAACAAACATATTACGGCACACATGTTTAATCCTCAAACAAGTGATCCCTATGCACTTCTCAAGGCCGCACTCTTGAAGAAAAGCGATCCCACAGATCACCAGCGCCTAGACGACTTACTTCGTAACATCGAGCCAGGCAGCCACTCAGCTACTAAAGTCCTCGCAAGCATGCAAGAAGTTATGGATACACGAACATTCGATGGTGGCCTTTTCCGAGAGCTATTTCTCTCAAAACTACCACGACCGGCGCAAACCGTTTTAGTGACACTGCAGTCAGTCCCACTCGATGAGCAGGCAGCCTCGGCAGATAAAATACTGGAGATCTCTTGCAGACCCGTCTCCAACGTATATTCTGTCTGCGACAAACCAGAGAGCCAGGATTCAGAGGCGACCAAGCTGTGCGACTCTGTTAAACAGTAGCTACGATCTCGAAGTCCTAGTTTACGTAGAACTCCACAGAAACGCGTCTTAGCTGGTCGCGGCAACTCGCGTGGTTGCCCCAAAACTAAACTTAACAGGGTGGAAAACCCTGAATGGTGCTGGTTTTACAATACCAACAAGGACGAAGCCAGAAAATGTCGGAAACCACGCAGTTTTAGCAAGGACACAAACTCGGGAAACGGTCACACCGGCACGTGCTCACGGCAACTGTAGCTGGCGGAAACAGCCGTTTGCTCTGGGTCACGGATATTAAAACGAAAGTTCGCTACCTCGTCGACACCGGCACAGAAGTTAGCGTTCTTCCCGCACCGGCTTAGGAGCGTCATCATGACCCATCCTTCAATCTCCAAGCCGCCAACGACGAGGCAATCGCGACATTCGGAAGACAGTGCGCCTACCTCAACTTAGGTTTACGTAAACCCATTCACTGGATTTTCCCCCTACCTGACATCTCTATGCCCATCATTGGCATAGATTTGCTAAGCCATCACGATTTACTTGTAGATGCTCGCCGTCGACGACTGATAGATAACAACACAAATTTATCTATTCGAGGTACCACTTATGTAGGTCCGAGTTTAGCCATCGTTAGGACCAAACAGTCAGGCGACGCGTCCTACCAAGCAGTTTTGGAGAAATATCCAGAGTTGCAGCAAGCGAAGCACACTTCGTACATAACCAGCAATGTTATGCATCACGTCACAACCACAGGTCCACCTGTGGCATCCAAAGCGTGCCGCCTAGCCACCGATCAGCTGAAAACGGCGAAGAGTGAATTTGACCACGCGCTGGAACCGGACATGTTCAAACCGTCAAACAGTCTTTGGGCATCACCACTGCACATGGTTTCTAAAAAGGATAGTAACGACTGGAGTCCAACCGCTGATTACCGAGGACCTAACGCCAAAACAACACCGTTGGATAGCCCGATTATCGAAATTCTTGACGATATGCCTGGTAATGCACAGTTACAACAACCGCCGGCGCAACAGAAAACACGATCAGATCGAACCATCAGGTTCTCGGAGTGTTTGAAGTCGTATTCAACCTAATGGTGTGAAATAAGATGCGCTAACCATATTTCTATAACTGACAAATTTTTTCCGAGGTACTATTTTTCTTATTTACCGGTAATGCAAAACTCCTCGTACATTTTGCCTTTTTATGTCAATTTTTATTACCATGTAATAAAACTTTTAAAAACCGGTAAAAATAAGCGTAAATTTTTCATTTTCGATATGTCTATATGTGTATAACTCCCATTTTTAAGGGACGTTTTCATGGTATTAAAGACTTTTGCTGATATTCCAGGTGCAACCAGCACTGGACGGAACGTCAAAAGGAACTGAGGACCGCGATCAATTGGTCTTTGCGTCTGTCAAGTTCGCACCAGGGCAAATGCTAAAACATCATACAGCATCAATCGGATAGAGATAGTAAATTTATATATAGAAAAGTGAATATAAATAAACATTACATGAAGAAAGGATAAAGTTATTCACTCTGTCTAATGTATATACCCTGAATTTTGCAGACCTTCAGCACTAAACTGGATCTACAGAAAGCAGGACGTAGTTTTAAGGTAAATAATGTGCATATAATCATATGTGTGCATAGTATAGTATTTAGCTGAACCGATGCAAACCACTCTGTTGACATGAATTAACAGTGAGGGTTCATTTTGAAAGAACCTTCGAATTCGCAAGTAAACTCACTCTTTTTCTTGAGCTTATGACGAACTCGTGAGCAGGTCTGCGGGCTGAAATTCAAAATTCCCGAACTTCTTCGCACTAGGAGTGTGACTGAAAAATTTTGGTATCCCCTATAATCTAAAAAAGTATGATACTTACCTCCATTAACACCTCAAACATCTTCCATCAAGCAGTTTCTTTTTGAGCCGGAGAAGTTCAGTAGTCAGCCCCTTTATGTCGATGGCGACAAACAAATTGTTTCAAACTGAAGATCGATTTTCTTGGTTAGTATGGACTGATAAAGGAATCCTTCAAACACACCGACAGCAGAATTGGGTGTTGTTGGACCAACAATGTATCTTCAGCCCGAACAGATCACGCTAGCGAAGTTTCTTTGCAACATAACAAAGCTGCTACAAGTCCACAGGAAGCGAAAATTCAGCATATATTGCACTTTCGGACATGCTCATTATGAATCATCGCCAGATGCTTGTTAAATCTCAAGCCGAAAAAGTCCCAAATCCACTTTTATAACGGTTAGATGACTGATATAAAAACAGAGGGCCGATTCATCTCGGACTTAGGAATCCGAGACATTCAATAGGATTCCTCAGGGATTAGTATTCATTCCCTTATTATTTGTTATCTTTATTGACGAAAGGCTACATTTTGTTCTCCACCAACTGTCACCTCAATAAACCCTTTCTGTAAATAATCCGCCTCCTAATATACCATTTCGGTTGGAAGCGGTTTCTTATGCGTATTGGATGTCAGTGAACACAATTAACAACAGCTTTTCTGATATCAGCTGTTTGGTCTATTCTTATTATCATATGCAGCATGGGTTTCTGTTGGTCACCATGGCTCGAGACAAAGAGAATCGTATCCGGTGAAACTATATTCATATCTATTTTATCTACTTATGCTCAACTTTTGTTGCAGTAGCATTTGCATGATATTTTGCGTACTGGCTCAAGAATTACTTTTACGCCTCCCTCATCCTCGTGTGTTAATGACATGAATTTCTATAGGGAGGCTGACAAGCCTTCGTGTGATTTTCTCTCCTGATAATGGCGAGTGACGCCACTATTATCATATACTCCTAAACGGTATTGCTCTTCCATAAAATGTGCAGAAGCGTGTAGACAAGTGGTTGGTTGGTTTAAAAATTGAGATGTACGCTCCGTTTTAATGGACTACATCTGTAACATATAGGTTGCACAAAGGCTTTCATAGGACATAACTGTGATCAAAAGGATCGCTGAAAACCTACTCACTATTACAGCTAACCCTAAAGGTATGGCCTTAGACTCAATATCTGAGGACATTCCTTGATAATTAAACACTAGAATATCAGTACAAGAGTCGTGCCGACTCTTCTGTGATAAGAACGCGTTGGTGGTGAGATTCCTTTCCGTACGCTGCAGCGATGGAGCATCGTCAGACGCCTATAGTGGCAAGCAATTCCCTAAGATCGGTAATCTGGGCTTCAGCAAAATCTGACATTGGTGCTGATCCTCACAGTTTTCGAAAACTGACCGAACTGAAGACATACAGCCTCCACGACTTCGATTTCTTTGGGCATACTACTGACAACAAAGGTGCACTCCTATGGACAGATGAGGCGGTGGTCGTTCTGAACTATCCAGAATCGACCAGTGTGGAGTAACTTCTCACTTTCAACGGCTTGGCAAGTCGAAATTATTGAGTTGTCACGTGGGGTTTATTTCAAACCGTACTTCTGTCATGGGGCCACTGACAGATCTACTCCAAGGGAACACTATGGCTGTGGACAACGTCGCTAAAGTTGCCCTCCTCAAAGTCGGGGAAGCTGTCTCAGCCACACTCATCACTCACGACCCCACTGCTCCTTTTAGTTTTGCTGCCGATCCATCTGACTGGGCATTAAACACAGCCTCTCAGCAGCCGGCTGGCAGCCAGCGTCAGCCTCCTCGGGAACAAGCAACAGTACATCCGGCAGTGGAATGCTAGCTATACACTCTCCCGCGCACCGTTTTATTGTTCATTTGAAGGTCGTGATTTCGCCGTTTTCACGCACCACGAGTAACTGACATCCTGTCGTCGAGTATCCGATAATTACTCCCCACGTAAGTATAAACAACTAGATT